GGACGTGCGTATTGTATTTCATGTGTCGATGTTGTAATTAGTGACAGGACGTGTTTATTGTATTTGATGTGTCAGTACTGTAATTAGTGACAGGACGTGCGTATTGTATTTCATGTGTCGATGTTGTAATTAGTGACAGGATGTGTTTATTGTATTTGATGTGTCGATGTTAATTAGTGACAGGATGTGTTTATTGTATTTGTTGTGTCAGTGCTGTAATTAGTGACAGGACGTGCTTATTGTATTTCATGTGTCTATGTTGTAATTAGTGATAGGACGGGTTTATTGTATTTGAAATATCAGTGCTGTTATTAGTGACAGGACGTGTTTATTGTATTTGATATATCAGTGCCGTTATTAGTGACAGGACGTGTTTATTGTATTTCATGTGTCTATGTTGTAATTAGTGACAGGATGTGTTTATTGTATTTGATGTGTCGATGTTGTAATTAGTGACAGGACGTGTTTATTGTATTCGATGTGTCAGTGCTGTAATTAGTGACAGAGCGTGCGTATTGTATTTGATGTGTCGATGTTGTAATTAGTGACAGGATGTGTTTATTGTATTTGTTGTGTCAGTGCTGTAATTAGTGACAGGACGTGCTTATTGTATTTCATGTGTCTATGTTGTAATTAGTGATAGGACGTGTTTATTGTATTTGAAATATCAGTGCTGTTATTAGTGACAGGACGTGTTTATTGTATTTGATGTGTCAGTGCTGTAATTAGTGACAGGACGTGCTTATTGTATTTGATGTGTCAGTGCTGTAATTAGTGACAGGACGTGTTTATTGTATTTGATGTGTCAGTGCTGTAATTAGTGACAGGACGTGCTTATTGTATTTGATGTGTCAGTGCTGTAATTAGTGACAGGACGTGTTTATTGTATTTGATGTGTCAGTGCTGTAATTAGTGACAGGACGTGCTTATTGTATTTGATGTGTCAGTGCTGTAATTAGTGACAGGACGTGTTTATTGTATTTGATGTGTCAGTGCTGTAATTAGTGACAGGACGTGCTTATTGTATTTGATGTGTCAGTGCTGTAATTAGTGACAGGACGTGTTTATTGTATTTGATGTGTCAGTGCTGTAATTAGTGACAGGACGTGCTTATTGTATTTGATGTGTCAGTGCTGTAATTAGTGACAGGACGTGTTTATTGTATTTGATGTGTCAGTGCTGTAATTAGTGACAGGACGTGCTTATTGTATTTGATGTGTCAGTGCTGTAATTAGTGACAGGACGTGTTTATTGTATTTGATGTGTCAGTGCTGTAATTAGTGACAGGACGTGCTTATTGTATTTGATGTGTCAGTGCTGTAATTAGTGACAGGACGTGTTTATTGTATTTGATGTGTCAGTGCTGTAATTAGTGACAGGACGTGCTTATTGTATTTGATGTGTCAGTGCTGTAATTAGTGACAGGACGTGTTTATTGTATTTGATGTGTCAGTGCTGTAATTAGTGACAGGACGTGCTTATTGTATTTGATGTGTCAGTGCTGTAATTAGTGACAGGACGTGTTTATTGTATTTGATGTGTCAGTGCTGTAATTAGTGACAGGACGTGCTTATTGTATTTGATGTGTCAGTGCTGTAATTAGTGACAGGACGTGTTTATTGTATTTGATGTGTCAGTGCTGTAATTAGTGACAGGACGTGCTTATTGTATTTGATGTGTCAGTGCTGTAATTAGTGACAGGACGTGTTTATTGTATTTGATGTGTCAGTGCTGTAATTAGTGACAGGACGTGCTTATTGTATTTGATGTGTCAGTGCTGTAATTAGTGACAGGACGTGTTTATTGTATTTGATGTGTCAGTGCTGTAATTAGTGACAGGACGTGCTTATTGTATTTGATGTGTCAGTGCTGTAATTAGTGACAGGACGTGTTTATTGTATTTGATGTGTCAGTGCTGTAATTAGTGACAGGACGTGCTTATTGTATTTGATGTGTCAGTGCTGTAATTAGTGACAGGACGTGTTTATTGTATTTGATGTGTCAGTGCTGTAATTAGTGACAGGACGTGCTTATTGTATTTGATGTGTCAGTGCTGTAATTAGTGACAGGACGTGTTTATTGTATTTGATGTGTCAGTGCTGTAATTAGTGACAGGACGTGCTTATTGTATTTGATGTGTCAGTGCTGTAATTAGTGACAGGACGTGTTTATTGTATTTGATGTGTCAGTGCTGTAATTAGTGACAGGACGTGCTTATTGTATTTGATGTGTCAGTGCTGTAATTAGTGACAGGACGTGTTTATTGTATTTGATGTGTCAGTGCTGTAATTAGTGACAGGACGTGCTTATTGTATTTGATGTGTCAGTGCTGTAATTAGTGACAGGACGTGTTTATTGTATTTGATGTGTCAGTGCTGTAATTAGTGACAGGACGTGCTTATTGTATTTGATGTGTCAGTGCTGTAATTAGTGACAGGACGTGTTTATTGTATTTGATGTGTCAGTGCTGTAATTAGTGACAGGACGTGCTTATTGTATTTGATGTGTCAGTGCTGTAATTAGTGACAGGACGTGTTTATTGTATTTGATGTGTCAGTGCTGTAATTAGTGACAGGACGTGCTTATTGTATTTGATGTGTCAGTGCTGTAATTAGTGACAGGACGTGTTTATTGTATTTGATGTGTCAGTGCTGTAATTAGTGACAGGACGTGCTTATTGTATTTGATGTGTCAGTGCTGTAATTAGTGACAGGACGTGTTTATTGTATTTGATGTGTCAGTGCTGTAATTAGTGACAGGACGTGCTTATTGTATTTGATGTGTCAGTGCTGTAATTAGTGACAGGACGTGTTTATTGTATTTGATGTGTCAGTGCTGTAATTAGTGACAGGACGTGCGTATTGTATTTGATGTGTCGATGTTGTAATTAGTGACAGGACGTGTTTATTGTATTTGATGTGTCGATGTTGTAATTAGTGACAGGACGTGTTTATTGTATTTGATATATCAGTGCCGTTATTAGTGACAGGACGTGTTTATTGTATTTGTTGTGTCAGTGCTGATAATAGTGAGAGGACGTGCCTATTGTATTTCATGTGTCTATGTTGTAATTAGTGACAGGACGTGTTTATTGTATTTGATATATCGGTGCCGTTATTAGTGACAGGACGTGTTTATTGTTTTTGATGTGTCGATGTTGTAATTAGTGACAGGACGTGTTTATTGCATTTGATATATCAGTGCCGTTATTAGTGACAGGACGTGTTTATTGTTTTTGATGTGTCGATGTTGTAATTAGTGCCAGGACGTGTTTATTGTATTTGATGTGTCGATGTTGTAATTAGTGACAGGACGGGGTTATTGAATTTGATATATCAGTGCCGTTATTATTGACAGGACGTGTTTATTGTATTTGATATATCAGGTCTGTTATTGGTGACAGGACGTGTTTATTGTATTTGATATGTCTGTGTTGTAATTAGTGACAGGACGTGTTTATTGCATTCGATGTGTCAGTGCTGTAATTAGTGACAGGACGTGCTTATTGTATTTGATATATCAGTGCCGTTATTAGTGACAGGGCGTGTTTATTGTATTTGATATATCAGTGCTGTAATTAGTGATAGGACGTGTTTATTGAAATTGATTTATCAGTGCCGTTATTATTGACAGGACGTGTTTATTGTATTTGATGTATTTGATATATCAGTGGTGTTATTAGTGACAGGACGTGTTTATTGTTTTTGATGTGTCGATGTGGTAATTAGTGACAGGACGTGTTTATTGCATTCGATGTGTCAGTGCTGTAATTAGTGACAGGACGTGCGTATTGTATTTGATGTGTCGGTGCTGTAATTAGTGACAGGACGTGTTTATTGCATTCGATGTGTCAGTGCTGTAATTAGTGACAGGACGTGTTTATTGTATTTGATATATCAGGTCTGTTATTAGTGACAGGACGTGTTTATTGTATTTGATGTGTCAGTACTGTAATTAGTGACAGGACGTGTTTATTGTATTTGATGTATCAGGTCTGTTATTAGTGACAGGACGTGTTTATTGTATTTGATGTGTCAGTGCCGTTATTAGTGACAGGACGTGTTTATTGTATTTGATATACCAGTGCTGTTATTATTGACAGGATGTGTTTATTGTATTTGATATATCAGTGCTGTTATTAGTGACAGGACGTGTTTATTGTATTTCATGTGGCAATAAGGACCAGGAAGTGCCTAAAGTATTGAATGTGTCAGTATTGTAATAATTGACAGGGCCTGTTTTTAATATTTAAAGGTTAACTTGAGTCAAAAAAAAATCTGTTCATAGAAGAAAACAAACCAGTGATTTCGTGTTCGAGATATATCAGTCTGAGGTCACGCCTCTCTGCCTGGTGAAAACTTATATTAATTTAGTTATTTTCTTGCAAGTTTGCATATCACACCTCTCGATGGGGATACTTTTCTCCATACTTCACGTAGAATGGGCGAATGTGTCCCGGTGGACAGTAATTGTATAAGCTCCCTGATGCTATGGTTTTATATACATATATACTTATCTTATTGTATGTTTGTTCACCACACATCTCGATGCTGAGCTATTTTGCCTCCATAATTCTGATTCTGTCCGGACCTTATGTACGATAGCTTCTCTCCACACGCAACCCCTCACACTAAGGAAGCATTCGTTTACACCCAAACTTCCCTCCATACTTCTCGATTGTTTTAATTGCAGCTTCTCTCTAATCTTTGTAAAAAGTTGTTTACAGTTCAGCGTCTGTTTTGCTTTATCAAGGATTATTAACATTGCAGCCTTTATCTATATTTTCATGAAAGATTGTTTACATTGCAGCTCCGCACCTGCTTAACAATAGCTGCTCCCTACATTATATCAACGATTCTTCAGTATTTATTGTCCGAAATTGTGGCTTCGCTTATAACTATTAATTTTTGTTTACAATACAAGATTCCTCCAGACTTTACTAAGGATAATTTACGACGTAACTTTCCCGAAGATTTTATAACGATTTGTTTAACTTACAGTTTCCCTCCAGACTTTATTAAGGATAACCAGTCCATCAGCTGGTTGTACGAGGCTTTGACCGATAGCTGGGGAACATGGTTACCGAAGGCCGCTCGTCAGGATATATTAAGGTAACTATCGCCAATAAAATCAACCACACAAACTTCCCAGCGAAGTTTAAGTATATCTGTGTTTGTTATTATATTTTGTACAATTTGTTATAATTACTTATGACACAAATGAACTATCTGTTTATATGTTCATGTCGACGGTAAGGTGCTACAGACCAGAACAACAACAAAGCTTCCTGTTTAGGAAGTCATGTTGGTGAAGTGGTTAGAACTACTGTTAGTTATCAGTTTCATGATTTCGTGCCATAGTTCATAAGTCCGAGGTGTTAGCAGGGAGCTTCATATTTTGTGTAGTTCATGGAAATGAAGCTGGATTGATGAAGGCCAGGGGCAAGCTTTATAGTCGCAGGTATGATCTGATTGGGACATTTGCTATTTATTTGTGCGATATGAAGGTCTATGTTTTTTTATAGCGCTTATTAGTTTGCCTTGTTTTGTTGTCACTTGCCGTGTTTTCGGTAAGGATGTGATATTACTTGGATTTGACCAAGATTAACATTGCAGGTGTCGTCGATGAAGCAAAAGACGCTTACCCTTCTGGAACACATGGTCTTGTTCTTCTTGTTCTTTTCAAGCCCCATGTAGATGTTTGTTTTGGTTTTATCGATTTTGAGTTAAATTCCTCTTTTGTTGACACTTTGATATTCTCTGTTTACGTTTATTTGGTATTATTATGCATATTAAGTAAAGCATTGCCTTAATCACAATCTTCATCTCTGCTTGCGGTGCTACCGTTTTTTGAATGCCTATTTTTAGGACGGTAAAACATAAGTATTCTTTCTATATTTTGATATTAGATATATTCTTGTTATATATATTGCAATGTTAAATATATTGTAATGTTAGATTATTGTAATTTTAGAAGTGCTGCATTTTTAGATATATTATAATGGTAGGTTTCTGTGATTTTTCCTTTACAGAGGTGCATTCTATTCCGTATCACCTAGTCCGGGCTTCAGAATCATATCGTTAAACATGAACTTCTGTAACAACGGCAATTGGTATGTATATGTATTACTCAGAAATGCGACGCACAGCATATAACAATTAGGAAGGCATTTGTTCTATCTGTTTTTATAGACAGTTGTGATATCAACTAATCAATGATACTGGTATTGGGATTAATTAGTTGATGTCGTTTAAACGGGAACTAACTTTAAATAAGAAAAGAAACATCGAAAAACTATACTATTGCGATGTCATCACACGTTTGGTTGGTCGGTTTGGGGCACAATCAAATAAGTCGATACAAAAAGACAACAACAGCAGAAGATATCAAAAAAAAATTAATGTTGTTTGTTGCCGATTGGACAGAGATATCCAAACTTCCGGTCCGTGAAAGTTATTGCGTGCTACACCGGAAGTTAAAGTTGTTGTACTTCATTGTAGTATATATTCCAAATAAAGTGTAATAAACAAATCTAAGCTCTGTTTATTTGGCAGTTATATGCATATCCATAAATGAATAATCCGAATTGCACTGCCGTTGGATAAACTGATACAAAACAAAACACGTTATTGATTTAAATAATACACATATTTATTAATTTGGTTTTTGAGAAAGATTGGGGGGGGGGGGGGGGGAACAGAATCATTCCCTATCTTGGGGGTAGATAAATGAAGCTCAATGCTTGAAGGAGATAATTGACAGTCTAACCCTCGTTTGATGCAGCATTGGGTTTGACAGTCAAGAATGTTATGGCAGAAAAGAGAAACCTCTACCCTCGAAGGAGATTTCGTACCTCAAGGCAACGAAAGATCGTACTAAACCTCCAAAAATCCTGGGAAGATAGTATTCACATCCAAAACACTCGAGAAAGACCTCTTATCTCCACAATACCTCAGACAGTGTTTACCTCCATAACAACTCATTAAGACATAGTTTACATCCACGTAATTCTGGACACAATATATCATTGTTATAGAAACTATTTAGGAAAAAAAACACAATTTGTCTTAGTTTGTTAAGTGTAATGTGTCGGTGTTTAAAATAAACAGGAATATTACGCTAACGTTGCGTTATACAATAGCGACAGATATTACTTTCTTAATGTTGTTATTTGGACAGTTCCGCAAATAGGCATCACTCTGCTGAATTGGAAACGCATATTGATTCAAATTGTCTTGAGATATAAAGAATTAATCCATGATAACAATGTCGTTGCATTTGCAGAGGCCGTGAGGTGAATTATGTACATAATTGATAGTATGTCTGTGACGATGACATTTGAAAACGACTCCTACATTTGGGATCTATGAAAACGTGATAAAAACGAGTATAACGTCATCGGTACATATAAAAACAGTGACGCCTTGTTTGGCGTGGTAGGGAATTGGTCGAGTATTCCAAGGTCGTCACATGGAATGATGCATTAGCAGCAAACTGCTTTAGACAGTCTCTTATTACTGCCATATATAATTATCATTGGGAACGGGCGGTAAGTGGGACTTTAAAGTTAGTATCGCAAAGGAGTCTGACATGAGAAACAACTGATGCTGAAATATCAAATGGTGTAAATTGATTTTTTTTGTCTTGAGATCGCAATCTGGTCATCTGGACACCGCATACGAGAACATAGTAATGGCATCTAGGCCAGGTAATTAATGCCTTTCAATGACCTTGTCCGGATAATGGTAAATTTGAAATGGCGCTTGGCTAGTATTGAGAAAGCCGTTATGTCATGTAAGCAGGGTAATGCAAATAGCGCACTGTTATAGAGGCTCAGTAGTGAGAAAGTCTTGAAGTCATCTAAAGCAGACAATGAGACTGCCGTTATGTCATGTAGACCGCATAAAGGTAAAAATCCTAAAGTTCTCTAGGCCGGGCAATGAGACTGTCGAAATGTCATGTGGACCACATAGAAATGTAAAGGGATAACTGTAAAGTCGTCTAGTCGGGGCAAAGAGAATGTTTTAATACTTTGCAGACCGCATAAAGGGAGAATCGTAAAGTCGTTTAGGCCGGGCAGTGAGACTGTCGTTAGGTCATGTAGACCGAGTTAAGGGAGAATAGTCAAGTCGTCTAGGCCGGGTAATGTGACTGTCGTTAAGTCATGAAGACTGCGTAAATGGAGAATAGTAAAGACGTCTAGGCCGGGTAATGTGAATGTCGTAAGGTCATGTAGACCGAGTTAAGGGAGAATAGTCAAGTCGGCTAGGCCGGGTAATGTGACTGTCGTTAGGTCATGAAGACCGAGTTAGGGGAGAATAGTAAAGTCGTCTAGGCCGGGTAATGTGAATGTCGTAAGGTCATGTAGACCGAGTTAAGGGAGAATAGTCAAGTCGGCTAGGCCGGGTAATGTGACTGTCGTTAGGTCATGTAGACCGAGTTTAAGGTAGAATAGTCAAGTCGTCTAGGCCGGGTAATGTGAATGTCGTTAGGTCATGTAGACTGAGTTAAGGGAGAATAGAAATGTCGTCTAGGCCGGGTAGTGTGACTGTCGTTAGGTCATGTAGACCGAGTAAGGGGAGAATAGAAATGTCGTCTAGGCCGGGTAGTGTGACTGTCGTTAGGTCATGTAGACCGAGTTAATGGAGAATAGTAAAGTCGTCTAGGCCGGGTAATGTGACTGTCGTTAGGTCATGTAGGCCGAGTTTAAGGGAGAATAGTCAAGTCGTCTAGGCCTGGTAATGTGACTGTCGTTAGGTCATGTAGACCGAGTTTAAGGGAGAATAGTCAAGTCGTCTAGGCCTGGTAATGTGACTGTCGTTAGGTCATGTAGACCGAGTTAAGGCAGAATAGTCAAGTCGTCTAGGCCGGGTAATGTGAATGTCGTTAGGTCATGAAGACTGAGTTAAGGGAGAATAGAAATGTCGTCTAGGCCGGGTAGTGTGACTGTCGTTAGGTCATGTAGACCGAGTAAGGGGAGAATAGAAATGTCGTCTAGGCCGGGTAGTGTGACTGTCGTTAGGTCATGTAGACCGAGTTTAAGGTAGAATAGTCAAGTCGTCTAGGCCGGGTAATGTGAATGTCGTTAGGTCATGTAGACTGAGTTAAGGGAGAATAGAAATGTCGTCTAGGCCGGGTAGTGTGACTGTCGTTAGGTCATGTAGACCGAGTAAGGGGAGAATAGAAATGTCGTCTAGGCCGGGTAGTGTGACTGTCGTTAGGTCATGTAGACCGAGTAAGGGGAGAATAGAAATGTCGTCTAGGCCGGGTAGTGTGACTGTCGTTAGGTCATGTAGACCGAGTAAGGGGAGAATAGAAATGTCGTCTAGGCCGGGTAGTGTGACTGTCGTTAGGTCATGTAGACCGAGTTTAAGGTAGAATAGTCAAGTCGTCTAGGCCGGGTAATGTGAATGTCGTAAGGTCATGAAGCCCGCGTAAAGGGAGAATAGTCAAGTCGTCTAGGCCGGGGAATGTGACTGTCGTTAGGTCATGTAGACCGAGTAAGGGGAGAATAGAAATGTCGTCTAGGCCGGGTAGTGTGACTGTCGTTAGGTCATGTAGACCGAGTTAGGGGAGAATAGTAAAGTCGTCTAGGCCGGGTAATGTGAATGACGTTAGGTCATGTAGACTGAGTTAAGGGAGAATAGAAATGTCGTCTTGGCCGGGTAATGTGACTGTCGTTAAGTCATGAAGACTGCGTAAATGGAGAATAGTAAAGTCGTCTAGGCCGGGTAATGTGAATATCGTTAGGTCATGTAGACCGAGTTAAGGGAGAATAGTAAAGTCGTCTAGGCCGGGCAATGAGACTGTCGTTAGGTCATGTAGACCGAGTTAAGGCAGAATAGTCAAGTCGTCTAGGCCGGGTAATGTGAATGTCGTTAGGTCATGAAGATCGCGTAAAGGGAGAATCGCCTTTTAGGCTGAGCAATGTCTCAATTTGTTCCAGTTTTTTCCTGCTGCTGTCTTTTGATAAAATCCGTTTGGCATGTCCTCTTCAATCTTATAAAACAACCTCAACCAACGAGTGTCCAATTTGACATCACAGTTACTACAATGTTCATAGAGAATTAAATAATAGCAGTATGTAGCAATGTGAGATTAAGGGGCTCAATCAGGTTCAATAAGTTGGTGTCATGGTAGAGGCTCCCGAGTCACAAAAGAGACTATGGCTTCAAATGTTAACACAGCTTGTATGTATGTATGTTGAATTGAATGGGGTGTATCATGATTGTTTTCATTCATCTCTTCTGTGATATCGCTTATGTATTTTGCAATTACTTGGCGTCATTATTTTGATAGCAAGCCATCACGTGATATTAAAAAATCAAAATCGTTTTATACAATACTTCAAGCAATACAGACAAAATCCAAATGGGTGTTCTTTATGAAATATATCGGTATCACAAACAGGCATATGAAAAAAGATATCCTACAACCCTGACACGGGATAATTAACATTGATTTGGGGATACTTAACATTGTTTTGGGGATAATAACATTGATTTGGGGATAATTAGCATTGATTTAGGGATAATTAACATTGATTTAAGGATAATTAACATTGATTTGGGGATAATTAGCATTTATTTGTGGAAAGTAAAATTGTCATGTCGGAGAGTCCATATTTCGACGTTCTAATGTAATGTAATTTCCAATGATACATTTTTGTAGGTGGTTACTGATCAACACTACTGACCCCAACGGACAGTTACAATGGCTTATTACTGAACTACAAAAAGCAGAAACCAGCAGTGAGAAGGTAAAATCCCGTATATAAATAGAAAACAGTTAAATATAAATACAGTGAAATGGAGCTGGTTGAAGTATGATTTATACAACATTACTAAATATTGTGTAATTGTGTCCCGAGGTATCCTTGACATCCCTGTGTTCCTTGACACATATATCACGCGCCCTGAAGATATCTCTGTCACTTTAATAAAGTTAAATCTACAAACATGGAGGTAATAACAGATAAATGAAGAAATCAAACTACTGACAGGTAAATCCTATATTTTGTTACCTCACGAGAAACAAATTACCGGCATAATTTGCAAACGAACAAACATAAACAACAGAACAAGGACAGTTGAATAGTGTCAAGTATAATACAGCAATAGTGTATTTCACTATTGTTCCAAATGTTGCATACCATTAAGTGCCCCTCGTCTTAATATGGCTTTGTGTCCTGCATAAAATCGGTAGCTGAGTTAATGGCGAAGTATTCGATATCTTGACCCTGTATACCAGCCAACAGCTGGAGGGGAACCACTCGGCAGCCTGGACTGGCAGGAAGGGGGATCATTACTCGCCACTCGGAACTCCTCGGCCGATTCGGTCACCTTCGAAGGAAGGAACTGTAATCGGGGCGAGATGTTCTGAACGCATTACTCGCGTGCAATTAGACAGTGTAATATGTTTTGATAGCTTTATAAGTGGTTCATATTGGAGGCGAATGTTCCTTCTAGTGTCGGCACGTATACCACATACAGGCAAATGTTCCATGGCTTATTCTCAGGGTAATAACATTTTAGAAGCATGCAATAAAAAGCATCATGATTGATAGATGCAAAGTGTTACAATTTTCTTAATGTATTTACATATTGTATTAAAAGCAAATTCATCGAGTTGACAAATAGAAAAAGTCACTGGCACATCCGTCGTCCCGTAAATAAAGTGTAGAATAATTTATGGATTTTTTCACATAGAAAACGTCAGAGATCGTTGTATTTCCAGAGCTGTTTCAGCACGAACATTCACCATTACGGTTATGTGTTTGTATAGTTGGCTCCGAAACAGTGTTTTTGTGAAATATAAACACACACGTTACACATTTATTTTGTTGGGTAAACACAGTTGTATATGACTATGATATCAGATCAATGATTGAAATTGCAAGTTTTATATATGTCTTAGATAAAATCCGATGATTTCGTTATCTCTGCCGTGAATGCAAGTTTCTCAGTAATCTAAACACTTCGTCGTCGAGAGTGTCCATGCTAATGAATCATTACTCCATTATAACTTGTATTTGATCACATCTGGCAAATTATCTGTAAAGTAATTTGCTTCCGTAAAAAATAGGAGTACATTTATACCTGGTAGAAATTGTACTGTAATATTTGCTGCTCTTGATCTGATTAAGTTTTGGGAATCCACTTTTCATATGAAACGTCTTTATTCAAAGATTGTGGAAACATCTTTTTTTTTTCTTCCCTTTTTCTCCTTTACCATCCATTTTCGATCTTGCAAGCAACATGCGCGAGTATAAAAGTTCTACCTGCTAATATATAATTTGGAGTAAAGCAAAGAAAAGCATGGAGGTTAAGCAGTTTATTAATGAGAGATTTATGTGTGAACTTGATGGATAAAGTGGTGGAATGTGAATACGGTTAAAGTAGGTGTTGAGATATTGAGGGAAACTGTAAGCATGACTGATAATGGGTATTGAGATATTGAGGGAAACTGTTATTACAGCTATTAATGGGCCCGGGTGTCGCGATATTTAGGGGAAACTGTTATTACGGCTATGAATGGATGCAAAGATATTGAGACAAACAGTAAGTACGGCTATAAATGAATTTAAACCCATGTTTCTATTATATTAGTTCCTGTACTTGTCATAGATACGGGAGGTTGTAAGGCATGCGTGTATATTAGAACGATTGGTGAATTTAAGATGTTTTGACCGTAAACTATCTCCACACATATCTAAACATCGTGGAGAATCTTTCAAACACGAGAAGAATGTCTGTATCGAATGATATCTTTTATTGAACAAAAGAGTCGAAGGGCAAAGGTTCCACCTAGGAGAAACGATATGATTCCATTACAAACTGTTAATATAAATGGGTTGTACTTCATTTCCCGTCAACATCAACCGAACAGTTATCAGCCGGTATTCCCATAACGTATTCATGAGAACATTTCTAAAATGTTCATGATAGCTACAAGGAAACAAACAAAATGGGAATGTGGAATGTGGGAAGAGCAAATCAACAAAGCATGAAGGAATTTCTTCAAGTTGTAATTTATGTGTTACAGCCTTGTTACTGTCGTTATAGGCGGATGGGTATATTTAAAACTGTGGACTCCAATGCGGAATTAACAACAATTATAGGCAACTTATGTGTTCCCTGTATTTGCTTCATCATATTTAATATATTGTGGTGGCGTTTGAGCGCAAAAGTATGATTCTACTTTATGACACATAGCTACCTACATTTTGACATATATGACATGTCTGTTTGCGCAGTTAGATAGTCTTCTTTACATGACGATTGAAATACTATATACATTAGGATGATTTAACGGTCAGCCTCTCTCCTTACTTCTACTATTAATGACTTGAATGTCATTTAAAAATCAAATTGCTCATCACATGGAACAATGTGAGTGAGAGGTAACCGAAACCCCTTTGAACGTTAAGTGTATTTTTTGTCTATTTAATCGTTAACAGGCAATCTGCTGCAGCCATCGTGCGTGTAATATATCTCTCGTGCAACTCCCGTGCACTCCAATCTCTAGTGTATACACTCTAACGTACTGCATGTGCATCTGCCCGGCTTTATGACTCAGTGTTAGCCGTTCTAGTGTTACAAGGGAACCCGGTTATGAAATGGCATATCCTGGCTGCAGTGATGCATTTAACTGCAAGACTCTGCCACTAGAAGTTTAAATTAGTCTCAACAAGATTTCGCCACACGCTTTGGAAGGAAGAGTCCACTGTACGCTTGGCCAATCTCCAATAGATAGAAAAAAAACAAATCTTTGAACTCTCCTTGGCAACATCTAACATGGACGTCAGACTGTAGGCCTGCTGCCGGCGAAAGACGTAACTTCTGTTGAACAACCTTGTTGCTCGATTTCCTCCGTTATTTAGAAACGTTTTTGTGAAGAGTTCGCGAGAGACTAAAACTATATAATGTTAAAAAAAACAGTGAAGATAAACATGGGTTGGGGAAATTGTACTTTGATGGGAAGAATGTAGGGAATTTTAGCAAGAGGGGTCCGTATTACGCAATCGATATATGTATGTGTTGCTCATTATGTATAGACGAGCATTGAGATAATGTTTATATTGTTTACTACAGTCGTGTTATCGCTAGCCTACAACAGATGCGTTTTAATGTCCAAAGATAACACTTTTTCGAAGTAAAGCTTTCTTTTTTTATGATCCATTGTTATATTTAAATATTATGTCTTATTCATATATATTTAGTCATTACTATTTTACGATGATGGTTGATGTGTATGCCCGAAGTACAATTTTATTTACCCTGATGAAATATTGTTAGTTAAATAAGTTTATATATATATAGCGAAAAATAGTTTTAAATGTCCATGTGACGGTAAAAATATTAATAAAACAAAACACGAAGACTAGTATAATCGGCGAGCGCTTTCGCCCATCTTGGGGCTCTTCAGGCGATTTATGAATGTGTTATATGATATGTATAGCATTATTGATTATGTAATCAAATCGCCTGAAGAGCCCCAAGATGGGCGAAAGCGCTAGCCGATTATACTAGTCTTCGTGTTTTGTTTTATTTATTTATATATATTGATTCAAAGTAAATACTGTATCGATTACAGCTGTAATGGACTTTTTGGCCTGTATCTGTTGGGTGCGGTAATTTAATCCCATCAAATGTTTATACATGCAGCTCCATCAACAAACTATTTTTCTTTTCTCTTCATAATATGTATATACCGGTATATATATTTTATATGTCTTTTCAATATCAAAATAAAAGGTTAGAATTCAAACCATTAGATTCAATTATAATAAAAATGAGTATTAGTAGTTGTTTCCCCTAATTTGATTATTAATTTGATAATACCAACTTGTTTATATGTGTTTGTATGTGTTCTATGTCTATGCTTGTACCACTGTCTGTTACTATGTTTGGAAAGGGCTTAAATAGGCTATGTCTGCTGCCCAATCCATTTGTCCTTTGACAATAAAATTTATTGAAGTTGAATGTGACATAACTCCTTCACGCCGATATCTAGCCTTACATCCACAGGATGAAAAGCTGAACAGGACTTGTTCCGCTATTCAATACACACGATGGCATGGTAATCTTTGCTTACCTTGTCTCCGTCGATAGCTAAACAAAAATGTCATATGCTGTTAAGGTTTCACCGTCTGTTGTGTAGAGGATATTTCACTCTTACCTCTGCATCTTTCCCTCTTGTTTCCCTTTTTTCGTGTATGGCGTCACCATGGCACTTGCACATTACTTTTTGTTGTGAATAATGTTGATCGAAAAGGAAATCAAACGAAATATCAAACAGTGTATCATTAACCTTTGGATAAAAATGCCTCCTTCTGACCATGAAAATGTTAAACCACAAGCAAGTACTTGACAACGACAGTCGTCAGTAATGTTAAGAAACATCATACATATTATATCAGATGTCGTTCATATGAACTCTTTAACATCTTTCTTATATATTCGGAAGCCATGATTTTGTGCATTGTAGGTTCATATTATTGGGCATATATTTCCTGGATCTAGTGACTGTTTGAAGGCGTGGAGCTGGAACTACTTCAAAATTGTCAACAGGTACGATATCCACTTTGCCATATTTTCATTCGTTTTCTGACATTAAACACATGTACAGGTATTTGTGCTTATTTTAAGCACTCAATATAACATATTTTATTATCAAGCCTATCCACTTTCTTAGGCTACTATCCACATTTAAAATGATTATATTATACTAGGAATATGATTAAAAGAAATTTTAAAAGATGCAAAATAAAAACGCTAGCATTGCTGTTAGTGACGTTTTAATATCTGCCATTAAAATTGAATTTAAAAAACCTTTTTAACTTAATTCTGGAAATCGTTATTGTAGACAATTAAAAATAATTTATCCTGTAGCATCCACTGTCATGTTTCATGAAAATATTGAAAATTATTTCGTTTGTTATTTCTATCACTTGATATACACATCATTGTTGTAAATGAACCTGTTTAAGCATCGCATGTTTAATAAATGTGTTGAATTTAATTGTATATATTTTTACAATGGTAAAGTCTATAACGACTATAAAGTGTATGTCTATGCTATTATACCCCGTGTATGAGTGTTCCAACCCTCGGTACTACAGGTACGAGAGCACTATAGCTGGACAGTTCTTTGGACATAGTCATTCCGACTTCTACGAAGTTATGTACGACAACGTCAATTTCACTCGACCAATCAGCGTCGTGTATATCCCGGGCAGCGTGACGACGTTCGCCAACCTAAATCCAGGATTCAGGATATATGAGCTAGATGGATTTTACAACGGCAGTTCATGGGTAAGGCTATCAGTCTTTCACTTTACGATTTGGCTTTGATTTAATTTTCCTTTGTTGCAGTTTTACCTTTTGTGTTGGTGTCTCGTCAGGTTCTGTTCTCGTCTCTCCTTGTTTGGTGTCTCGTCAGGTTCTGTTCTCGTCTCTCCTTGTTTGGTGTCTCGTCAGTTTCTGTTCTCGTCTCTCCTTGTTTGGTGTCTCATCAGTTTCTGTTCTTGTCTCCTTGTTTGGTGTATCGTCAGTTTCTGTTCTCGTCTCTCCTTGTTTGGTGTCTCGTCAGTTTCTGTTCTCGTCTCTCCTTGTTTGGTGTCTCGTCAGTTTCTGTTCTCGTCTCTCCTTGTTTGGTGTCTCGTCAGTTTCTGTTCTCGTCTCTCCTTGTTTGGTGTCTCGTCAGTTTCTGTTCTCGTCTCTCCTTGTTTGGTGTCTCGTCAGTTTCTGTTCTCGTCTCTCCTTGTTTGGTGTCTCGTCAGTTTCTGTTCTCGTCTCTCCTTGTTTGGTGTCTCGTCAGTTTCTGTTCTCGTCTCTCCTTGTTTGGTGTCTCGTCAGTTTCTGTTCTCGTCTCTCCTTGTTTGGTGTCTCGTCAGTTTCTGTTCTCGTCTCTCCTTGTTTGGTGTCTCGTCAGTTTCTGTTCTCGTCTCTCCTTGTTTGGTGTCTCGTCAGTTTCTGTTCTCGTCTCTCCTTGTTTGGTGTCTCGTCAGTTTCTGTTCTCGTCTCTCCTTGTTTGGTGTCTCGTCAGTTTCTGTTCTCGTCTCTCCTTGTTTGGTGTCTCGTCAGTTTCTGTTCTCGTCTCTCCTTGTTTGGTGTCTCGTCAGTTTCTGTTCTCGTCTCTCCTTGTTTGGTGTCTCGTCAGTTTCTGTTCTCGTCTCTCCTTGTTTGGTGTCTCGTCAGTTTCTGTTCTCGTCTCTCCTTGTTTGGTGTCTCGTCAGTTTCTGTTCTCGTCTCTCCTTGTTTGGTGTCTCGTCAGTTTCTGTTCTCGTCTCTCCTTGTTTGGTGTCTCGTCAGTTTCTGTTCTCGTCTCTCCTTGTTTGGTGTCTCGTCAGTTTCTGTTCTCGTCTCTCCTTGTTTGGTGTCTCGTCAGTTTCTGTTCTCGTCTCTCCTTGTTTGGTGTCTCGTCAGTTTCTGTTCTCGTCTCTCCTTGTTTGGTGTCTCGTCAGTTTCTGTTCTCGTCTCTCCTTGTTTGGTGTCTCGTCAGTTTCTGTTCTCGTCTCTCCTTGTTTGGTGTCTCGTCAGTTTCTGTTCTCGTCTCTCCTTGTTTGGTGTCTCGTCAGTTTCTGTTCTCGTCTCTCCTTGTTTGGTGTCTCGTCAGTTTCTGTTCTCGTCTCTCCTTGTTTGGTGTCTCGTCAGTTTCTGTTCTCGTCTCTCCTTGTTTGGTGTCTCGTCAGTTTCTGTTCTCGTCTCTCCTTGTTTGGTGTCTCGTCAGTTTCTGTTCTCGTCTCTCCTTGTTTGGTGTCTCGTCAGTTTCTGTTCTCGTCTCTCCTTGTTTGGTGTCTCGTCAGTTTCTGTTCTCGTCTCTCCTTGTTTGGTGTCTCGTCAGTTTCTGTTCTCGTCTCTCCTTGTTTGGTGTCTCGTCAGTTTCTGTTCTCGTCTCTCCTTGTTTGGTGTCTCGTCAGTTTCTGTTCTCGTCTCTCCTTGTTTGGTGTCTCGTCAGTTTCTGTTCTCGTCTCTCCTTGTTTGGTGTCTCGTCAGTTTCTGTTCTCGTCTCTCCTTGTTTGGTGTCTCGTCAGTTTCTGTTCTCGTCTCTCCTTGTTTGGTGTCTCGTCAGTTTCTGTTCTCGTCTCTCCTTGTTTGGTGTCTCGTCAGTTTCTGTTCTCGTCTCTCCTTGTTTGGTGTCTCGTCAGTTTCTGTTCTCGTCTCTCCTTGTTTGGTGTCTCGTCAGTTTCTGTTCTCGTCTCTCCTTGTTTGGTGTCTCGTCAGTTTCTGTTCTCGTCTCTCCTTGTTTGGTGTCTCGTCAGTTTCTGTTCTCGTCTCTCCTTGTTTGGTGTCTCGTCAGTTTCTGTTCTCGTCTCTCCTTGTTTGGTGTCTCGTCAGTTTCTGTTCTCGTCTCTCCTTGTTTGGTGTCTCGTCAGTTTCTGTTCTCGTCTCTCCTTGTTTGGTGTCTCGTCAGTTTCTGTTCTCGTCTCTCCTTGTTTGGTGTCTCGTCAGTTTCTGTTCTCGTCTCTCCTTGTTTGGTGTCTCGTCAGTTTCTGTTCTCGTCTCTCCTTGTTTGGTGTCTCGTCAGTTTCTGTTCTCGTCTCTCCTTGTTTGGTGTCTCGTCAGTTTCTGTTCTCGTCTCTCCTTGTTTGGTGTCTCGTCAGTTTCTGTTCTCGTCTCTCCTTGTTTGGTGTCTCGTCAGTTTCTGTTCTCGTCTCTCCTTGTTTGGTGTCTCGTCAGTTTCTGTTCTCGTCTCTCCTTGTTTGGTGTCTCGTCAGTTTCTGTTCTCGTCTCTCCTTGTTTGGTGTCTCGTCAGTTTCTGTTCTCGTCTCTCCTTGTTTGGTGTCTCGTCAGTTTCTGTTCTCGTCTCTCCTTGTTTGGTGTCTCGTCAGTTTCTGTTCTCGTCTCTCCTTGTTTGGTGTCTCGTCAGTTTCTGTTCTCGTCTCTCCTTGTTTGGTGTCTCGTCAGTTTCTGTTCTTGTCTCTCCTTGTTTGGTGTCTCGTCAGTTTCTGTAATCGTCTCTCCTTGTTTGGTGTCTCGTCAGTTTCTGTTCTCGTCTCTCTTTGTTTGGTGTCTCGTCAGGTTCTGTAATCGTCTCTCCTTGTTTGGGGTCTCGTCAGATTCTGTTCTCGTTTCATTGTTTCGGGGTATCGTCAGTTTCTGTTCTTGTCTCTTCTTGTTTGGTGTCTCGTCAGGTTCTGTTCTTGTCTCTCCTTGTTCGGTGTCTCGTCAGGTTCTGTAATCGTCTCTCCTTGTTTGGTATCTCCTCAGTTCCTGTTGTTGTTTTCCCATTCTTGTTTGGTGTCTCGTCAGGGTCTGTTCTCGTCTCTCCTTGTTTTGTGTCTCATCAGTTTCTGTTCTTGTCTCTCCTTGTTTGGTGTCACGTCAGTTTCTGTTCTCGTCTCTCCTTGTTTGGTGTCTCCTCAGTTCCTGTTGTTGTTTTCCCATTTATTGTGGTGGGTCCTTGGTCCCTGTTTATTTTTTGTATCGACTTTGCAGTCCAGTTTTGTCTTTGAGTAATGATAATATTATGTTTCTGTTCTGTTTTACATTTCACAGGCCGCACTGAACTTTCAGAACTATTTTCTTAACCTCACTGATGTCAACGTGAGCGACAAGCCAAACTGGGAACTGGAATATGATGCTAAGGTAGAGTAAATCAACTACTAGCAATACTGTTATATATTGATGTAGTCTTGATCAAAAGTTGTGGTATCTTGTAATTCGTTTCAAGCCCACCTGCAAACTACATCATTATTTAAACCGAACATGTGATCAGGAAAACTGCAGATTGGTAAATAATTACGGCGTGGATGTTTCCTTCTCTGTGATTGACAGCCCATCGGGTTAGTGACTGTTGCGTCGTATACTACTTTCAAATCAGTTGCAAATTTAATCGACGTTTAATATAAGCGAGACCCTTATATGATTGATCAAAGCAGATGTGTGAAGCATCAGATTGACTTAACACGTGGCAGACATGGTTAGTCTACGTCAGAAACGAATGTAAAAGAGGAGACGGTCAATTACACTTACGCCTTGTGCCTTACGAAAATATATTTGTAGTTTAAAAACACTGTCGTCTATTTAGGTCAGCTTGTTATAATATAAACATTTTAGCATCCCATGAACGTTTATAAAAGCGGATGTGTTTCGTCCGACCGTCTGACTAAATGTTTGTCATTGGTTATAAGGACATATGAAACGATGTACATTTGACCCATGTTGCCTCACACGAAATAAGACATCAGTCAAAAACAAGATTAACGGTATGAAGCACACTTACACACAACAATGCTTGTACATGTACATTAGAAATAAACACATACATGTATATTAATGCATGCGTTAACATTGTGAATGGATATCTATGATGATGCTTTGATGAACACATCATTGCCGGTAAAGTATGCTACATCTGCATACATTGCATATCCATGCTATACCTTGCATACTTTATCAGGTTAACACGATCTGTTTGTTTTTTCTCTTTGGTTTTCTTTTTTGTTATTTGCTCATGCTAGTTTGCTTTATCATGTTTGCTTTATCTGGTAGACTCTATCTGGTATGTTCTATCTGGTTTACTCTATGAAGGACAATATATAGCTGGTATTCGTAACCTGGTAAATACGCTGGTGTACGTGTTTTATCCATGGTACCAGACAAAATGCCATTCTGAAGAGTTTTCTTCTTGGGCAAGATAGATGTATTATCACACAGCATGAAATGAAGATCGCCCCTTGTTGAAATTTGAATCTCTACACAGCTGGAGACACGAGGAGTTGTGTAACAGGAAGTGCTGTTTGTGATAGTAGTAAACCAAAATCGGGTTCTGCAATTAACAAAAGATCGGCTCATAAATATGTGTTTGTATTTTTAAACTCGAAGATTTGCATTTTTCAATCATTTAATTGCAACAAATATTTTAGAAATTTAATTTTATTTGTGACACTTATTGTTTTTCCCGTAGTAGCAATTTAAATATTGTTATTTTGAAGAAATATTGTTGGTCCTGATGTTGCGTTTATTTTACATAATACGGTACGCCCTGTGTGCTGTGGACAGATCAACTTCACTATGAGTAAATTTTAACAATGCGAGAGATGATAAAGCCGGTCGCACAGTAGTATGCATCTAAACTAATGGAGACCAACCAGCTTGTTTATACATTATTTAACCAATGTGCTATATATTTCCCCTATCTATATCGTACTAAATTTATTTTTTCGCGGGATTTAATTTCGTTGTTTTTTGTTATCCACGAAATAAACAAAATTTAATGTCCCACGAAAATTAATGATTTTACAGTATGCATCTTTTTAGGATCATCACATGATGTTAATTGCGTAAGATGTCTGATGAAATAAATACGATATAGTGATATTAATACCGTGACCAGACAGCTGATGAGTACAAAACATAAGCTGTGTTATCATCCACTAGTGGCAATAAACGCTGGGACGCTAGGAACCGATACGCTGAAATTTAGTTCTCGCTATCACGTGATAAATGACGTTATCACTCCGTTATCAGGGAGCTGTTGGTTTCATCCAATGGCTTGCTAGAATTTAGGGCCTGTTTGTGAAGTATGACTTTAAATTCAATTGAAAATGTTTTAATCAACATCATTCAAAATCGCCAGGAACATTAAAACTGTGATCTGTTGAAGATGTTTGTGAAAATCAATACTGTTCGTTTAGTTGTTTAAATAGTGTCGTCGTTTATCGTTTTTTCACTTACAAAACAGTCTGAATACTAGTGTTTTGATATAATTGTCAGAAATACACTTTCATGGGAAAACGTTCTCGTTGTATTTCTAACGGATTTCTATCATTAAATTATTCCTAAAATGATCCATTGTAATTCAATTCCCGATGATTCAAATGTATTAACTATTCTAGCTATTACGTTGAGGAGGTCATTTCATCCAAATGTATTTGTTATTGATCGAACACGTAGGAACAAACGCATGCATCATTTAGTAGTGGCTTGTGCTGAAGTACGGCCTGCTCTGGGTCGATGCCAGCGACAGTTATCTCTTTTGAGTAGTGGCATAGTTCATGATATTTACACACTATACAAGTTAATTTGAAATTCACCAGTACATCTTATAAACAATATTAATTAAATTGTTTTTACGCACTTTCCCTTCTGTTTCAAAAGTAGTTTTGATTTCCAACGTTTTGACCCCTAGCATCACTGATGATTCCTAGGAGGAAGGCACAGCTGTATGATACAGAGTAATTCATTTTTGACAAACTGTATTTATTACCAAATGTTAAAGGTCAATCACCCGTATGTATATTACGTTCGCCTTTCTCTTACACTATGCCATTGACATGCAGTCCGGTTTGCACCTTCAGACGATGTTTATCGTTTAATACCTAAGTATGATATAAGAGTTGCTCTGTGTGACTAGAATTTCCACCCAACCCTGTTTATCACGTGTTACAATAGAAGGTCGCCTACATTGATAACAAACTTATATCGATGGTTCAATTAAAGATCTAAACAGGTTTTTAGCGGAGAGTTTTACACGCTTTCAAACGGCAGTTTCAACCCGAATGAGTATTTGAAGTATGAACATGCACACATACCAAATAGATACCGTGGCTCCTGTTATTTTCGTGAGCACTTGGTTTCATGATCAGAACAATGACAATATACAAGGAACTTATGAATAAATCTTTTGAAAAAGAGAATAATTAGTATAAACACAAGATCTGTAAGCGAATGTCATCTACCTCACAATTTGGTCATGTAGAAAAGATATTTCTTGGGGAAAATGTCACACACCCTGATTTAGTACGTGTACATTTTTACATTGAATAGAATCAATTCATATAAGAGAGAGCATTATACCTCATTAGCAGTGATTCTGTTCATCTTTCTTCACTATTTCTATTATTTTCGTAATGCAAGAGACTAAATTTCATACTAACCTATTTTCTGTACGTATTGCGTAACAACACGACGTAGTTTCTGCATTATTCATGAACATAACTAGCATTACGTCATTAGATGAACGCGCTGTGATGACCTTACTCCAGACAAAGACTTTATTTCCACTTTTTTCTAGATGCCTACTTAAATATTGCCACGAAGTAGACCATTTTACTTCACGGCAATAATAATCATTCTGTCTTAACACAAGACTCGTCAGTCAATAAGAACACATATTTCCAGGTAGAGGACTTCAGTCTCAGCAAGATGATAATATCCACTATATATAGCAGTATGCTTATTTTGTTTGCCATGCAAAAATGATCGTCAAGTCGTTAAAGTTTAGTGTTGTCTTACAGGCTGACCTCAATCTTACGAGCCTCTTCCCTCAGGAGTGGGACAACCTTATATATCGAATGAAGGCTGACGATGACCTCTTTCAGAAATTCTATAGGTAAGTATTTGAAAATTTAACTCTCTGTTTACTAACCTGTTTATTTCCATTTGTTAAATCACCAAACTGATCACATTGAAAGATGGATGTCGAATATATTGGTATAATACAGGACATCAGTCAACTGTGGTTTAGAAAAAATATACACTTAAACTACCGGGGAATTTTGAAATCTGAAATGACTTCCCATGCCCTTTGCTATTTTTAAATCATGTCTCGAAGAATCGGTATATTGGACGTTTTTCTCTGAAACTTTTCTCGTGCATTTTATCATTACAGGTACTACATGAAGTCAGCCCCTGCTGCCAAGTGTACCGGGGACTGCAAGACCAAGCTTCTCTGTGATCTTAGGACAGGGCGATCACACGACCCCAGTCTCTGTGCAAATATATGAGTGTTAATGTTAGGGTTACTTTTATTGAAGAATTAATTTTAACAAACGAATTAGAGAAATCCACATGGTAGTGCTATATGTGCGTTCAAGTAGTTCCTTCTAAATTATGTTCGCCAGCTGAACAGCTTGCGTGAACAATTGATTTTATCACAGAATACATGTTGATACTATTAACTTAAATGACTGTCCATAATATAATAGTCTCACCTAAATTGGTTGAAAATAGTCGCGTTTGTCGCGCGTTGAGTGAATTAGCGCGAAAATATCCACACACGAAAATTAATTAATACATTAGATAGATTTCAGAACCAATACCAACGCAAAAATGTCCACACTACAATCAGTTTAATAAAGAGCTTCAAAGCGAACATTTCTATCCGCGAAAATTTCCATTTCTACAGTATATGTTCTAATCTCCGATAACTGAAATGATTTGTTTTTTCTTAACTTTTGATGAACAATTACGGGGGGTATTCCAAATATACTGAACGTGATTCCATTCAAAGTCTAGACCTGTGGAGGTATTTTGTAGAAAAACAGACAAAAATGTAGCAGTTCCCAATTTTACGGATTTCTATATATGCTATTACTGTTATTTTATTATATACTCCAGCATTCAGTTCAATGTTCTGTCCGGTTGACAATGTTAGCCGTAGTTGTTAAAAATAGATATGTTTTACGGTTTGTATGCATTCCATGCTTGTTGAATGTGTGTAAGTAATTGAGATATGTAATATGACTTATTTAAGATAGTTTCACAGGTAATACATTATGTCATCGTGTTAAATTAAATTTCAATAGGATATTTCACGCCTGTGTGATGTTAACAAAGTAATCTATGTTCGAGGGTAAGATTTTCAAAGTTTAGCACGAGACTTCGCCAAGTGCTAAATTTAGTTGTTTTTTATTGAGATTTCTCTGCCAGCATCACACATGAGTGATTGATTATTTTACTCCAACTCTTTCCTACCACATGTACCGCGTCATCATCAAGGGCGCTTGAAATGAGTGAACAAATATGAGTTCACCCTGGTTATACTTCAGAAGGTGTTGATGCGAGATGGTGACATTTTCAGAATGAGGGCGCGTGTGAGCTGTCTTACCTAGGTATGTCAAGACAGGTTTAATGTTTCCCTAGCAAAAACGGGAGTACTGCAGTGAAGTGTGGCAGAAATAAGTAGGTTTCCAGAGATGATTTGTAATGCATTCGTGATCATATGCATTCTAAACCTCTAGAAGAAAACCTTAAGAGAACCTTCCAGCGTGTATAATACACTCGTGTTAACATCGTTTAGTGATGGCTGAATTATATTTTCATATTCATTGACGTTTTTTAATTAACACGTTTATTATCGCATATGATTAAATAAAAGACAATGTGAGATGTATATTAGTTGTTTGTCTGTTCATTAACTGTTTAATATATGAACACTGGCGTCGTCGTCTTGCCTCTGTTTAGTTCAGGATTCGAGACAACAGGCCAAACAACATTTCCCGGTGACCAGGACACTTTCAGTTTGGCGTTACTCTTAGCTTGTTTCACATACAGTAGAAAAATCATTTCGTTTTAGTGTCTCATTTATCAAATATGAATTTTGTATAAAAGAAACAACATATACGCATTTTAACTACATATAACGTGTAGCGTACTTTGGTCCGACTCGCTATTTTTTCGATGTTTATTTTTGTGTTTTTTTTAGCTCGCCTGGTCCGAAGGACCAAGGTGAGCTTATGCCATACCGCAGCGTCCGTCGTCCGTCAACTTTACACTACTAGTTATGAACCACTGAGCGGATTTTAACAAAATTTGGTGTGGAGCATCCTTGGGTTAAGAAAAACCAATTTTGTATAAATGGTGGGTCTGGCCCCCCAGGAGCCTGAGGGGCGGGGCCAAATAGGGGAAATATAGCAAATTCTTCTTTAAAATCCTTCTACTTCTGTAGGAATGAAAGTATTTGGTCCATAATTGGTCAGAAGCATCCTTGGGGGAAGGGGAACACAGTTTGTATAAATGGTGGGTCTGGCCCCCCTGGGGGCTGAGGGGCGGAGCCCAATAGGGGAAATATAGCAAATTCTTTAAAATCCTTCTCCTTCTGTAGGAATGGAAGGATTTGTTCAATATTTGGTTTGAAGCATCCTTGGGTGAAAGGGAACCAATTTTGTATAAACCGTGGATCTGGCCCCCCAGGTGCCTGAGCCGTGGGGCCCAATAGGGGAAATATAGCAAATTATTCTTTAAAATCCTTCTTCTTCTGTAGGAATGAAAGGATTTGGTCCATATTTGGTGTGGAGCATCCTTAGGTAGTCGGGAACCAATTTTGTATAAACCATGGGTCTGGCTCACCAGGGGCCTACGGGGCGGGGCCCAATAGGGGAAACATAGCAAATTATTCTTTAAAATCCTTCTTCTTCTGTAGGAATGAAAGGATTTGGTCCATATTTGGTCAGAAGCATCCTTGGGCGAAGGGGAACAAAGTTTGTATAAATGATGGGTGTGGCCCCCCTGGGGGCTTAGGGGCGGGGCCAAATAGGGTAAATATAGCAAATTCTTTAAAATCCTTCTTCTTCTGTAGGAATGAAAGGATTTGGTCCATATTTGGTGTGGAGCATCATTGGGTAGTGGGGAACCAATTTTGTATAAACGGTGGGTGTGGCCCCCCCTGGGACCTGAGGGGTGGGGCCCAATAGGGAAAATAGACGTAAATCTTCAAAATCCTTCTTCTTCGGTAGGAATGGCAGGATTTTGTCAATATTTGGTCTGAAGCATTCTTGGGTGAAGGGGAACCAATTTTGTATAAACGGTGTGTCTGACCCCGCTGTAGGCATAGAGGTGGGGACCAATAGGGGAAATAGAGGTAAAACCTTTAAAATCCTTCTTTTTCCATAGGGATTAAGGGATTTTATCCTAATTTAGTCTGGAGCATCCTTGGGCCATGGGGACTCAATTTTGTATTAGCAGTAGGTGTGGTCTCCGAGGGAGCAGAAGGAAAAATAGAGGTAAAACCTTTAAAATCCTTCTCCGACCATCGGAATTAAGGGATTTTATCCTTATTTAGTGTGGAGCATCCTTGGGTGACAGTGACTCAATTTTGTATAATTGGTGGGTATGACCCCGTAGGGGCATAGGGGTGGGGCTCTGTTTGAAGTTTGTCCTCTATACCTCAAGTACTGGATGGATTTTTCTGAAATTTCATATGTACTAACAGCACCTACCATGGAGTGCTATATCTTTACTTCATACCAATTACTTTAATTATATTCAGGTGAGCGATACAGGCCCTGTGGGCCTCTTGGTGGGTTGGGGTTTTTTTTTGGGGGGGGGGGGGGGGTCACAATTTATCATCAGTCAGCTAAGGATATAAACATGTAAATATGGACAACTTTTTAACCCACCTTATTGTGAATATGACATGTTAAAGACATAACGTTCAAATTCAACCATTTGTCTTTCTACCCGTCAACACTGATTACCGGTATACTTTACAGGTAAAATCCCACAATAGAGGGGTTCTCGTTTCAAGTTATTTCAATTATTTGAGCTTCATCATGGTGTTTAATATTTAGTCATATTAAACGGGGATGGGAACATTACTAAGAATTGTTTTTCTTTAAAGGTGCCATGTTTGTTGCACATTCATCACATCATTGCATTTCTGACGTAATGATGACGTGATTGTGCTTTGAATTTTGAAGGCCAAAATCTCAAAAAACATGTTATTATACACTTCAATACTTCACACCTGGTAAGAAACATAACCCTCAAACTATCATATTGTGTACTTACAAGTATGTTACCACTCGAAACCATATGAACACTGTAACACACACTGGTTTATCTGTAAACAGCTGTTCGTTAGGACAATGGTCCTAGGAACATGGGTAGAGTATTCATACCTTGGTTCACGTTTACATGATCGTTTTAGTCATTTCAACATTTTACAGATGAATTGTTATACTTTCATACAGTGCTAATTATTCTTAATTGTCATTTCCTATTCTATCCCTAGTACAACCCATCCTGCTCAAAATGATCCAAGGTTAAAGATTATGGACTTCCCATCCAATTTCTCCGGTACTCTTTCCTTATATAATGTTATCCTATCTAACAAGTAGCTCATTTTTGTATCACTTCATCTTATGAAAATAACATAATCCGTCATGACGTCACAATTCGTTTTGACGTCATACTTGTGGGTTTATTGAACTGCTTTCAGTTGGCATTCGTAGGCAGCATGAATTCCAACTGGACAAAAGCAAATTCAAAGAAGCGCACTGTTGGATTTGCCTTTGTACAGTTGGAAATCATAATTTCATAGGCCATGAATGCCAAATGAAAGCAGTTCAATACTTATATTTACCATTGTTTTAATCTGTTAATCTCATAGAAAATTTAATTACACTTACTATTATTCAGCACTTAGGTCAAATAATGTATGTATCGTGTATGCTTGTTCAATGAATAGAACAGCCATCGCCCAGGTATCCAACGTAACAATTATGACGTCATAATAATGATGACATCAACAATCGGTCCATGGCATTCATTGCTAAATGAATGACAACTGAATTTGGTAGGGTTATATAGTGACAATTCCATGAGATGGTAAATATTCTCAAATAGTATCTACTTGCAGATTATAAATGAAAATGTCAGTCTATGTGATATGAATCCTAATCTGATGAACTGTACAGAGACAGCTGCTGGACACGTTCTATAGCGTCCTGACTCTGATCCTCGAAATTCCAGTGTTGACTCTCACTTACGTTCTCTGCACCCATGGAAAGTAAGGACAAAATCGAAAGCTCGGTATGTGCAATCTTTTGGATGATACAAGAAGCTGTACATTATTAGAATCGCACGACAGCATAAAAGAACAAGAGGCCCATGGGCCTTAACGGTCACCTGAGTCCTACAGTATTTATTTTTGTTGTTGAAATATGTACCAATTTGAGTAAAATATAGTTAACTATAATGTTAACTTAACTTTGTCAGGACCATGAGCTGATCATGCCTAGACCGATTTTCATTGAGATCGGCCTATTAGAACTTGTTTTTAAGTTTGAAATAGGTATTTACAAAATAGCGGCCATGGCAGCCAAATTGTATTTCTGATTGACCCGTAAAATAACAACACTTTGTCAGGATCATGATTCGATCATTCCTACAAAGTTTCAGTTCAATCGGCCAAGTAGAACTATACTTTAAGGTTGAAATAGTTTTTTCAAAATGGCGGCTGTGGCGGCCATATTGGATTTCTGATCGACCCTAAAAATAACAACACTTTGTCAGGACCATGATTCGATCATTCCTACAAAGTTTCAGTTCAATCGGCCAAGTAGAACTTTACTTTAAGTTTGAAATAGTTTTTCAAAATGGCGGCCGTGGCGGCCATATTGGATTTCTGATCGACCCGAAAAATAACAACACTTTGTCAGGACCATGAGTCGATCATTCCTACAAACTTTCAGTTCAATCGGCCCAGCAGAACTTGACTTTAAGTTTGAAATAGTTTTTCAAAATGGCGGCCGTGGCGGCCATATTGGATTTCTGATCGACCCGAAAAATAACAACACTTTGTCAGGACCATGAGGCGATCATTCCTACCAACTTTCAGTTCAATCGGCCCAGCAGAACTTGACTTTAAGTTTGAAATAGTTTTTCAAAATGGGCGCCGTGGCGGCCATATTGGATTTCTGATCAACCCGAAAAATAACAACACTTTAATTTGTCAGTACCATGAGGCGATCATTCCTACCAACTTTCAGTTCAATCGGCCCAGCAGAACTTGACTCTAAGTTTGAAATGTAAAATGTTAATGGACGACGGACGACGACGGACGAAAACGGATAGCAATAGGTCACTTGAGCTAAAGCTCAGGTGACCTAAAAATTGACCGGCTTTGAAGTCCGGTGCCACACCAGCTTAGCGGTTAGTTTTTCTTTTTTTTATAACCTGCAACCAATCAAGTTACTAGCAGCATCCCTTCAATTTTGCCACGAAATTATCCAAGGGGACCAGAGAACATAACTGAGCTTAACACATGGACAATTGCATGACAAAATTGAAGACACGGTGCTAGCAATTTGATTGGTAAAAACAAACAAAATCAATACTAAATGCCATCAATTTTATTGTTAACATTAACAAAATATACTGAGTTTCCCCACTACTATACAGAGTACAATGCTACACAAAATATATCTACCTTGATATAAAATTAATAGTAGTACAAGGTCATAACATTCCAAACAGACCTGGCATACATACCTTTTCAGATCTGTTTCCCAAAATTTGACTGATCTACAGACTGGAATGCTGCTTGATCTCAAATATATGAAAACTGGCGGTTAAGATCTAAATCTGTTAAGATTTGAAACCAGAGACCAAACAACTGTCTCCAATGACCAGGAGATACTAAGTTTTGGTCTCTGGTTATTCACATGCAGAAGATACTGGAATGCTTCTCAAGTTGCAAGCATGGTGAAAATTTCTTACTCTCTTCAATACAGATTGGATTATAAGTTATACCCACATTAATTTTTTTCTGTGGCCAAAATAACATTGGAAGGTTTTCTTTCCAAATTTTTTAAAGTTAATCTGTACACCAGTAAATTATGAGTCAGAAATGGAAAAGTTGATTTTATACAAATAGCACCCACCACTTGATAATAGCAATAATGACAATATAAAATACACATTAGACTACATTTACAATACAATACAAGTCAGAACATCTGAGAAGGGACTTCAGAAACGACACAAAACACCTGAGGGACTTACATAAAAGACATGTAACTTTTAAGGGATTTCCAAAAACAACACATTGCACACAAAACATGATACATTATCAAGACGACTATTTCTAATGTTGTTATAGTTATTACTCCAAACACTGAGATTAAAGTGTTCAATGATTCTTTTAAATTCTGAAACATGTTTTGCCATGCATACTACAGTGCCAGATGCATTGTCTCCCTTATATAAATACATATAAATATTAAACGTGTACTAAACTATTAACACTTAAATTGATCTTTATCTTCATTCTAATTTACCTCCCAGTAAATAAAATAAACACTGACATATTAATGATATAAATTTGTGTCTCATTTTCTGTACTTTACCTTAATGTATGTCCACAGTAGGGCAAAGCTGGTAAAATGGCATAGGGGTATGTGTCTCATTCTTTATAATTCACCTAGTAAATGTATGTTCATAGAAGGGCAAAATTGACAAAAACGGCAGCCGGAAGATGATTTTCATCTTAATAATGATAACCTGTTGTTACAATTAGCATACTGAATATAAACCATACCTGTACACAAAATTTACAAAATGGGTTTTTATGTAAAATACTTGTGTAATTTTACAGTTTTAAAGACATGTGTATACAATCACATACAATTTTATGTCTCTTGCAAAACCAATTCAGTATGAACATACTGCCTAACATTATAGAAGTCATACGAAACTAAAACTTCACTGATCACACAATTACGGATATAACTAATACAACACGGACAGATATTACTCACACAGATTTAGGATACTGTATATAACTTTATTATAGTGTGACAATTAATTCCATAGTAAATTCTTGTTAAGCGTATATTGTGAATTCAAGTATCACTTACTTATTTATAAATAAATAACCTAAGTAATATACATGTACATTAAGCAAATAAAATTGAGGATAGGATTAACATAACTACCTTGTACTTGTTTTTGAATACTATATGTATATCATGTTTGTATTACTGGAATATTATACTGACAATTAAATAAAGTTTAAACTAAAACAAATTGATATCCTTATAATTATATATGATTACAGTAGAGAAATGTCTGTATACTACAGATAGTAATCTACAGCCATGGAAGAGATATCTCTAACACAGGTTTGGGGTAATCAGATTTAGTTAAGGAAAGGGATATCTGTTCTCTTCAATTCTTATTTTCTAATAAATAATTTTAAAAAAAATTAAAGAGGTATTCATGTGATATTACCACTACTCTTTTTGATAAACAGTAATAGAAATATTGCACGTTTTCCTGGATACAGGATCCCAGAGTAGTTGTCATTTTAGCACAAAATCTCATTTGCCGATAATATAAAATCCAAACTACATGCAAGTTTAAGGTCCTAGAAAGCTTATTAACTCTTAAATATCCTCTCCTCTTCCAAAATATAATATCAATCTTCATTATGATACCCCCCATTTAGTGACAGGAGTATATAGCATATCACCATGTCAGTGTGTCTGTATGTGTGTGCAGGGCAAGAATATAGGGTCAAAGGTCAAGATAAAATACTACACCTGACCACTAAAAAGCAAAACGCTTGTACAGTAAAACCCCACTTCCTCGAACTCGGTTTACTCGAGTACCCCTCATTCATCGTACAGTTTGTTTGGTCCCGACCAAGTTCGTACATATTCTTTGTAACGTAACCCAGGATTAGTCAAACCGTTATTCCTCTAATACCCCGTATTCCTCAAACAAAAAATTTGTCCCCGACTCTTCATGGTCATAGCATTAATCAGTTCTATCTATTTGTCGAACAGGTGTGACATGTCACGCCCGACAGATATTTTATCTGTGTACCACACCGGCACCGCGAAAATACCTTGAGCTAAGACTAATTTACCAGTATCATGCTTAATAACAGCATAAGTACCGTTTAACAATACGTACATATGTTGAACTATTATCACTCAAGATTTGACAGATATATACTTGACAATCTAGAACCAACCTCAGATTTAAATACTTGAATTCCATGTATTCCTCAAACTGTTGATCTAGGCCCCACGATTTTGAGTAAGTGGGGTTTTACTGTATATTAAAAGATATATTTTGAACCAATCAACAGATTCAGTTCATATTTACAAAATAGTACGGTAACATTCAGTTTTATACCTAAGTAGGGTTTATCTATATGTGAGCCCCTAGGCCTGCTCACTTCGTTTCATTATCATTTCGAATTCTGTTTCCCTTAGTAACAAACTTAAGCACTTATCTATTTGATGAATATTTGATAGAATCAACCAATGAAACAGACATCACTGATCCTTTTTCTTATGTTTCTTAAACACTTCCTGCATGTGTATATTGTATGGAGTTTACAGACCACCAATATATTAAATGGTCCCTTACATTGATTTTTTTTTCACAGAGCCTATTTTTTTCAAAACTGATTTGCTAAGCTGGTTATCATAATGAATCCTCAGTTGTCAGCTCCTCACGGAAATCTTCCTGTAATTCAATATCTAGTTATCAACTACAAAATTATGTGTACGGTAAGGTGCAGCGATCAAAAAGCTGAAAAACTTGTGTATAATTTAGGAAAATAATTGTTTTTTGTTTGTTTCTTGTTCAGTAGTCAGCGTACCAATCAACATGAGCTTGTCTTAAACTATACTACTAAGGTCAACAGACCGACACAATTCAACATATAAATAGCATCATGGTACATGTAACATAATGTAGACAGCTTTTTTTGTGTGTGAAACTAAACCAACCAAAACCAAATCAACATCATTTCAAAGAAGAGGTCTTTGGGCCTTAATAGCTCACCTGATCAGGTATTTTTTCTTTAAATTGAAAATATGTAGAATGTGGTTCAGATTTATCAAAAGAGTACAGTCACCTGAGTTGTAAAACAATTATTTTTGGTGTTGATGTGACAATGCATAATAGTAATTATAAAAGTAGTTATGACTTCACAATTGTGAATTTCCCCACAAAATTATATTTGGGAGTAACCAACATGCTTTGTAACTAACAGACAAAACATTTCTCAATCACATCCTCTACAGACACAAGAATAACCAAGATCAATTCTCTTTTTTTTATCCCTATATCTGCATACAAGAAGAAGGATTTTAAATGTTTACCTCCATTTACCCTATCTGGACCAGCCCTTCCAAACCCCAGGGAGAGAGTGGGATACCCTTTATCTATACATTGTTGAGTCCTTTTGATCCAACCAGGCTCAAGATCAAATTGTGCAAAAGCCTTCAATTCTACTGGATAAATAGCTTTTTAAACAAAAAATTGACGACGGCAATGGTACCTTGGCATATGGCAAGTTCACCTGGGCATTAGGGCCAGGCGAGCTAAAAAATACCAACACCAAACAAGACCTCAACAACAGGACATGGGCCTTAACGCTCACCTTAGTGAAAATGACTATGTAGGTCTTTAGAAATGTTAAGGCTGGACACAGATTTTCAAGAACACTTTGAACTTTAGCCCCTTGTCAGCTATTATGAGATTTTAGAAAACTGTCTTTTCTCATTGTGGGCTCAAACTCTCAGTTTCGAAGGGAGTCACCTCCTTACCTTGAAAAAGACATTAAAGTCCCCTGTCAGAAGCATGTTTGGTTCAGTTTTAATTGAAATCTATTCTGTACTTTTTGAGGGGAAGCACTTCAAATTTGTGCAAATTTGTTTGATGGTTTTAGAGATAGAATAAAGTCTTAACAAACAACAGACGACAGACGAATATAGCAACATATATCTTACCTGAACCTTTGGCTCAGGTGAGCTAACAACTTAAAACATAACAATGGCCTACAATAACTTACCACAAACCTTAATGGCCAAACAGCCTACAAAGTAAGTTGTACCAGTAAGAAACCATTGCTTAAAGGTTCAGTTGGCATGTTTAGCCTAAAGATTTTGGTCCAGGAGCTGTCATCCGGATACTTCACATGTTTTTTGTGCGTGCATTGAATCTGTATTTGTTGGGGAGGCGAGATTTATACAGGCCTGCTACCTGTTCCGTGATTTTCTGCTTAACAACAAAGAGTGTTGTTGAGATGTTACCCATTCCAAGGAAACCATGGAGGAAAGACAAGGCAAATACCTGTAAGGAGTAATAACATGGACATTTAAGGAAATCTCGGTTCACACAAACATTTCAGGATCAATGTCAAAAAGATGTAATTTTTCAGTTACTTTCTACTCAAAAGACTGCTCTCAGCATATTTTGCACATTACCAAGAAATATTTCCAGCAACATGGATGGGGAGACTTACCTATCAAGGTAGAGAGGCTGGAGTGGGATTACTAGTCAATGTAGAGAGTCAAGCATGAAATGGCCTACCTGCCAGTGTGGAGAGACAAGGGTAAAATGACCTACCTGCCAGTGTGGAGAGACAACCGTGAAATGGCCTACCTGCCAGTGTGGAGAGACAAGGGTGAAATGGCCTACCTGCCAGTGTGGAGAGACAAGGGCTAAATGGCTTACCTGCCAGGGTGGAGAGACAAGGGTAAAATGCCCTACCTGCCAGTGTGGAGAGACAACCGTGAAATGGCCTACCTGCCGGTGTGGAGAGACAAGGGTGAAATGGCTTACATGCCCGTGTGGAGAGACAAGGGTTAAATGGCATACCTGCCAGTGTGGAGAGACAAGGGTGAAATGGCTTACCAGCCAGTGTGGAGAGACAAGGGTGAAATGGCTTACCTGCCAGGGTGGAGAGACAAGGGTGAAATGGCTTACCTACCAGTGTGGAGAGACAAGGGTGAAAGGGCCTCCCTGCCAGTGAGGAGAGACAAGGGTGAAATGGCTTACATGCCCGTGTGGAGAGACAAGGGTTAAATGGCTTACCTGCCAGTGTGGAGATTGGAGAGCTAGATGGTATAAGACGTAGGAGTTGTACAGCTGGAAACACTACAATAAAGAGTACAACATATATATAAATAGGGTATCATGCAAAACAGAATTACTTGATAACAAATACAATGGCTGTAAACCTGGAAAAAAGTTACTTGTCTCCCTTTAATTATGTGGTAGCACAGCTTTCAAGATATATCTGCTGATATATTTAAATCTTTCGAGATTTTTTTTCAGATGAAAAACTTTGTTCTGTTTTCTGATGAAGGATCTTGCTGAGTACCTTCACAATCTCCATAAATTTGATCTACAGACACTTCTATTGCCTAAATTACTTGATATTGTACTTACATAGCCAGCAAACAGGAATGGCAATAAAAAGGAAATCCCCTTCCACATCCAGGACATGAAGCCCTCTGAAGGACAAACATATTATTCTATAAATAGCATGCATTGCTTGTTTAAACAGTTTCATCAATCATACCTTTTTATAAAGTAGGGAGAGTTTTGAGTTTTTTTTCAATATTTCCAAACAAAACTTGACTTCAGTGAACCATTTCAAAAATTTAACTCTTTTCATAATTTGTTTTAAAATATTGCTATTTTTGATAAGCTGCTTTTTCCATTATCATTTACAGTGATTTGCTGGTGTGTATAAACCAGACTTACCCACAGTGATGTCCATCTCGTGGCCTTTACCCAACGCTCGTAATCTGTAGAGGGAGCCCTTCTGGTAGAAGTACTGTAGCACATACAGCATACCTGTAACAGATACAAACCTACTGAAGGATCGCTCATCGACTAATGAAATCAACATTTAACAGACTCACAAACACTATTCCAAGTCACCTTTAGTCATCTTCGCAGTAACTTCAGCGAAACATTTTGACAGTGAGCTTGACAGGTTTTAAGTGGATAAAGAGATTATAAAGATTTTTTTCTGTTTGTTCGTTAGCAAATCTTCAAATCAAAATTAAATGTGGGTACCATCATTCAACAAATGAAACCAGTCCCGCGACTCGCTTGTTTACCGGTACATTTGCGTGGGAGCTCAAAGATTTTGGAAGTGTGTGGGTCTGTCGAAAAATAACACACGCATGTACATGGTCTATCATTCAATAATCCATGTTTATCAACCAATGAAAAGTGTGGTTATATCGCAAATACGTAGAATAAAGGAAATACCACGCAACACAATTATTGATACCCCCAGTTCCTACTGAAGGATGAACCACACACCTACAAATAATACACCATTGATAACAAATGGATTACTTACTTAAGTAGAGAGAGAAGATGACGTGCTGGGTTCTGAAGGCCTGGTACGAGTAGCCATCCGGCCTGGAGAGCAAAAGTACACAGTCATTGCTGTTGTATTTGATTATTACACTCTTGGTGGGAAATATTAAAGATGATCCAGTGTCATCAGTTTGCCTACTGCTTAAATATTATTACCTTCATATCTATTGCACATTATTAAAATAAACTAAACTTTATCTGTCCCAAATGTGACTTTTAATTTTCGACTGCATTAGGTTTGACATATAAAGTGTTACTTATATAAACATGGATGTCTGGAAAACCATGTAACTCAGCAAGTACATGAATGTTATTAATCTTCCTGTAACAAGCACTGTTCAGTCATCTGCAATAGTGGCAATCAAAATGCTGAGATATTTAAGCCCTACAATGACAGGTAAGTAAGTAACATATACACAATGAATCGTAGATAAAAAGCCTGACTTACCAAATAAGTGCTATTCCTGCACATACAGTGGAGACAAAATGGTGGGTCACCCACCAACCCTTGATTCTGGAAGGAAAAATACCAGGCATGATGGAATATGATACAGTAATTGGGCTAACTCCTCATTCCTAAATAATGTCAAGCAACATGCATGTAACAGCACAGGTTTCACTTTTATCAAACATCTCAACTTTTTAGATTTCATCAACTTTCAGATTTCCCAATAATTTAACTTTTATGTAGATTTTCTTTAATACAGGTATACCTTGGAGACGTTTCCTGCAAGTGGGGTCAATAGCCCAGAAATACATTGAATATTGTAGAAAATAACGATTTGAATACTGAAGAGTAGTATATGCTTATTTGAATACTGTATAACATCACTATGTTATCACTGTATAACATTATTATTCAAATACTATATAACATTACTATTTTATCACTGTATAACATTATTATTACAATACTATATAACATGAATATTTGAATACTGTGCATCATGACAAATTCTTAGCCATGTAATCATATCTATGTTTAAATTAATCATTGAATTAAGTGAAATATTCAACACTTTCTTTTTAAAATTTTACACTGTAAAAAAATATGACCTCATGATAAACCACATCGTTTTCACCCAGTCAAACTTTCACCCTCCAATACTGTTTCCGCATATAATAAACCACATCATACTTCATCCTGTCAAATTTTTGCCCTCCAGCATTTCAAAAGGAAATCAGCCAGTGTCGACTTTGCCCATGCATTACATACTCACCAGTACTGCATAACGTTGTGAATGGTCAAACCAGTGTCAGGTGACCACAAATAAAATTTGTATTGACCTGAGGAAGTGATTTTGACCATATATTGTACAACATTCACCCAAATAGACAGTGACATTGCCTGGGTTTTATAATATACCTGTTAAATGACATATGAAACACTGTTGACATTGGTGATCAGTCAGTTTGATAAAAACTAAACAGTATGTGTGAACCAATGACATTCAGTGCCATTTATGCTGATTATTTTGCTACAAAGTAAACAAAGTAAAATTGTTTCATTGGGGAAAAAAGCATGGATGCAAAGGTATTCAATATGGCTTCTTGACAAAATCAGTTGAAAATAATTAAAACCATCAGTTTTGGGGTTTTTGTTCATTTGGAAAACACATGTTTTTTTATCAACCTGAGAAAAAAGAGAAAATAAGTTCTCTGACAGTCAATATACATTTGTTGGGTTAATAAATCAAAAATGATGTATCAACCTCAATATATGTATGATGAACAATGTGTACAAAAGTTGTTTGGTAGTTTGAGGTTTTATATCTTTGCAACAGCTAAAGCTATATAAGCACAGTGTCTATGGATGATTGGACCACCACAATGAAATGTCACAATTAAGAAACGAAAGGTCTGACAACAGGCTATCTAACGGGGTCTGGGGAGACACCAGCATGGTACCACCATGGGCCACGTTTGTCTGACAACAGGCTATCTAACGGGGTCTGGGGAGACACCAGCATGGTACCACAATGGGTCAAATTTGTCTGACAACAGGCTATCTAACGGGGTATGGGGAGACACCAGCATGGTACCACCATGGATCACATTTGTCTGACAACTTGCTATCTAACGGGGTCTGGGGAGACACCAGCATGGTACCACAATGGGTCACATTTGTCCGACAACAGGCTATCTAATGGGGTCTGAGGAGACACTAGCATGGTACCACAATGGGTCACATTTGTCTAACAACAGACTATCTAACGGGGTCTGGGGAGACACCAGCATGGTACCACAATGGGTCACATTTGACTGACAATAGGCTATCTAATGGGGTCTGAGGAGACACTAGCATGGTACCATAATGGGTCACATTTGTCTGACAACAGGCTATCTAAGGGGGTCTGGGGAGGCACCAGCATGGTACCACAATGGGTCACATTTGTCCGACAACAGGCTATCTAACGGGGTGTGGGGAGACACCAGCATGGTACCACAATGGGTCACATTTGACTGACAATAGACTATCTAATGGGGTCTGAGGAGACACTAGCATGGTACCACAATGGGTCACATTTGTCTGACAACAGGCTATCTAACGGGTTCTGAGGAGACACCAGCATGGTACCATTTGTCCGACAACAGGTTATCTAACGGGGTCTGATGAGACACCAGCATGGTACCACAATGGGTCACATTTGTCTGACAACAGACTATCTAACGGGGCCTGGGGAGTCACCAGCATGGTACCACAATGGGTCACATTTGTCCGACAACAGGCTATCTAACGGGGTCTGGGTAAACACCAGCATGGTACCACCATGGGTCACATTTGTCTGACAACAGGCTATCTAACAGTGTCTGGGGAGACACTAGCATGGTACCACAATGGGTCACATTTGTCCGCCAACAGGCTATCTAACAGTGTCTGGGGAGACACCAGCATGGTACCACAATGGTCACATTTGTCTGACAACAGGCCACTAACAGGGTCTGGGGAGACACCAGCATGGTACCACAATGGGTCACATTTGTCTGACAACAGGCTATCTAACAGTATCTGGGGAGACACCAGCATGGTACCACAATTGGTCACACTTGTCTGACAACAGGCTATCTAACGGGGTATGGGGAGACACCAGCATGGTACCACAATGAGTCACATTTGTCTGACAACAGGCTATCTAACAGTATCTGGGGAGGCACCAGCATGGTACCACAATGGGTCACACTTGTCTGACAACAGGCTATCTAACGGGGTCTGAGGAGACACCAGCATGGTACCACAATGGGCACATTTGTCTGACAACAGGCCACTAACAGGGTCTGGGGAAACACCAGCATGGTACCACCATGGGTCACACTTGTCTGACAACAGGCTATCTAACGGGGTATGGGGAGACACCAGCATGGTACCACAATGGGTCCCATTTGTCCGACAACAGGCTATCTAACAGTGTCTAGGGAGACACTAGCATGGTACCACTATGGGTCACATTTGTCCGACAACAGGCTACCTAACAGTGTCTGGGGAGACACTAGCATGGTACCACCATGGGTCACATTTGTCTGACAACAGGGGATCACATTTGTCTGACAACTTGCTATCTAACGGGGTCTGGGGAGACACCAGCATGGGACCACAATGGGTCACATTTGTCTGACAACAGGCTATCTAACAGTGCCTGGGGAGACACCAGCATGGTACCACAATTGGTCACACTTGTCTGACAACAGGCTATCTAACGGGGTATGGGGAGACACCAGCATGGTACCACAATGGGGCACACTTGTCTGACAACAGGCTATCTAACGGGGTATGGGGAGACACCAGCATGGTACCACAATGAGTCACATTTGTCTGACAACAGGCTATCTAACGGGGGCTGAGGAGACACCAGCATGGTACCACCATGGGTCACACTTGTCTGAGAACAGGCTATCTAACAGTGTCTGGGGAGACACTAGCATGGTACCACATTTGGTCACATTTGTCCGACAACAGGCTATCTAACGGGGTCTGGGGAGACACTAGCATGGTACCACATTTGGTCACATTTGTCCGACAACAGGCTATCTAACAGGGTCTGGGGAAACACCAGCATGGTACCACAATGGGTCACATTTGTCTGACAACAGGCCACTAACAGGGTCTGGGGAAACACCAGCATGGTACCACAATGGGTCACATTTTGTCCGACAACAGGCTATCTAACAGTGTCTGGAGAGACACTAGCATGGTACCAGCATGGGTCACATTTGTCCGACAACAGGCTATCTAATGGGGTCTGGGGAGACACCAGCTTGGTACCACAACGGGTCACACTTGTCTGACAACAGGCTATCTAACGGGGTCTGGGGAGACACCAGCATGGTACCACAACGGGTCACATTTGTCTGACAACAGGCTATCTAACAGGGTCTGGGGAAACACCAGCATGGTACCACAACGGGTCACACTTGCCTGACTACAGACTATCTCACGAGGTCTGGGGAGACACAAGCATTGTACCACCATGGGTCACACTTGTCTTACAACAGGCAATCTAACGGGGTCTGGGGAGACACCAGCATGGTACCACAACGGGTCACATTTGTCTGACCACAGACTATCTAATGGGGTCTGGGGAGACACCTGCATGGTACCACCATGGTCACATTTGTCTGACAACAGGCTATCTAACGGGGTCTGAGGAGACACCAGCATGGTGCCACAACGGGTCACATTTGTCTGACCACAGACTATCCAACAGGGTCTGGGGAGACACCTGCATGGTACCACCATGGTCACATTTGTCTGACAACAGACTATCTAACGGGGTCTGGGGAGACACCTGCATGGTACCACCATGGTCACATTTGTCTGACCACAGACTATCTAACGGGGTCTGGGGAGACACCAGCATGTCACCACCATGGATCACATTTGTCTGACCACAGGCTTTCTAACATGATCTGGGGAGAAACCACTAAAAAGGAAGATTGACGAAGAGAAAAAAGAAAGGATGTATTCCTGAAAGGAGGGCAGCAGATCAATTTGTACTTGCCAATACTAGGATAGCCGTATACTTTCACACAACTTGAACATGTACAACTTGTAGATGTTTACCTGGAACCGTTGACTACAAGGATGTTCTCTCGGATGGTCAGTGTACAGTAGTACCACACCAGCAGGAAATTGTGCAGGGCATCCAGCCATCTGCAACACATTGATAATACAATGGCCAACATGAAACATTTTAGGTACTTTGAATCTAAACTAAAAGTTTAATTTAAATTTAGGAAGCTTCAAAGCATGTTTGAACTTGAGTCCGTTAGGTTGTACACATGTTGAAAGTTCCATGAAACTACAAAACCTGAAAAAGTAAATATACAGAAGAAGTTTGCTGTTATGCTTTGGTTTAATTTAATTTTGTTTAACGTCCTATTAACAGCTAAGGTCATGTTTGTAGTGTATGCACGCTTGCGCGTGTGTATGCAGGAGATGGGATATATTGGTATGCTTGCCTCCTTGTGATAGCGCGGATCTGATGCCGACTTTATAATGCTATATCACTGGAATACCATGCCGAAGGCACCCAGCACAGCATTCCGCCCGGTCACATTATACTGACAACGGGTGAACCAGTTGTTGCCATTCCCCTAAATGCTAAACGCCAAACAGGGAATAACAACTACCAGTTTTAAGGACTTTGGTATTTCTCGCACCTCAGACAGAGATATCCCACGTCATACCCAATGCTAGATTTTTCTATCTCGTCCGATCTGTCTTGTACCTTTATGTGACATTTCGCGGAATTTTTACACTACGATGTATTCATCCGCGCGTTAACTGCTTGAAATTGACAATTTGCGTTATAAATGTTCTGTTTTGACGTTAATGTATAGTTTTGATGTTGTTAATTATTTGATATTGTAGATAAAATATAATCTACATTGTGAAATATGTTGTAATCTATGTATGGACGGACTACGTTTTTACGTGGAAGCATTCAAATGTAGCTTAAGCAGTGAAGAGGTCATCATCATTTGAGGCCCAAGGCGGGATACATATAGTTTTTAGCAAAATATTTTTTGAAAATGATCAATTACCTGTAACTGAGCAAGATCGGGTTATCTCGGTCTCGGGCTAAGATTCTGTAGATTCTGTAACATCCCAACCCAGAATCTTAACCCATGACCGAGATAATCCGATGAGTTTCAGGTAACAGATTTTTTTGGTCCCGGCCTGGGGAAAGAACCCAAAATTGCCTTCCTTACCTGGAGAAATGCTCAACATTCAAGCCAAAAGTGAGGTGTTGCCAAGCGCTACTACAGTTTAACACATATCTGACAGACTAACCTGATAATACAAGGCTGATTTTGTTGAATCGCAAATGGTTGGACAGATTGGTCTAGAGTTGTTTGTTTATTATTAAGATCCAGTGATTTTATTTTTGTTTTTTGGCAAGTCGCAGGTGTACCTACCGAGAACCAGTGATGAACAAGAGGGCCACAGACAGAATCAATGTGATGTAGCTGACTGTCACTTTAAACTTCTCATAATCTTCCTTGTAGGCATATCTGTAAAACAAATCATAATCATTAATATGAATAAGGCAATTATGAAAAGTTCTTTTTTAAACAACTAATAAAATGTTCCATGTGACGTTTCTATGACTAGTACTATATGTAGCCTGTCACCTTCATCTGACAAATTACCAGTGAAGCGTTTGCACACAAAGGTGTAAAATATGTAAGAGTTGTCCACAAAATCGATGTCGATTTTGGCTATGTTTATAACGACTATTGTACTATTATGTACAATAGTTGTTATATATGTACCGAAATGACTTGATTCAGCTACGCTTTGATTAATACTTGGTCATAGATGTGCAATTTGAGCCCCCTCGTCTCGATTTAGAACTGGCCCATTGCGGCGTATCCAGATGGCTTCCTTTATCTGCCGCTTGAATAGATTGCTCTCTCCATCCAATACTTTTGAGTTATCCCAGTCAATGACATGATTTTTCTGTGTGGCATGGTCTGTGATTGCCGATTTATTTATCTGGGACTCCTTCTGCTTCCTTTTTGATCTGGTGAATATCCTGCCTTCTGGGGTTTCTGTATCTCTCCGGTGTTCACCAAGGCGGACCCCAAATCGCCTTCCAGTCTCTCCAATATACGACGCGTCGCAGTTTTTGCATCCAATCTTGTATACGCATTCTGCGACGTTTTCTTTATGTGTTTTATCCTCAAGGTGTACTAGGATATTGCGGAGCGTCCTGTGGGGCTTCATGGCTGTTGCTATGCCATGACCTCGATATATCCTCTGGATGGTTTCGGACATACCCTTTATATACGGGATATCGGTGAGTACTGTTATGTCATGTCTATTTTGTTGTTTACAACCTGTAATCTCTCTTTCAATAGATCTTTCTGTGCTTTATTGATGATATTTCTATCATTTACTGTGTTAACTGGGCACCTAATATTCAGACTTGAAGGTGTTGGATGCAATCTCTACATCTCAGCGTAAACACAAGGCGATTTCTATGTCTCACTAATTTCTTTTCTAGGCTCTCTAATTTCCGCACATCTTTGACAATATCATGTCCGTACTTTGTTCAGATATTTCTAAATATTTTCTTCAGGTTGGTAAGTATGGATTATGAAAAGTTCTTTTTACACAGACAATAAAATTTTCTATGTGACGTTTCGATGTGCGAGACTCACGCACATCTATGACCAAGTATTAAACAAAGCGTAGCTGAATCAAGTCACTCAGTACATATATAACAACTATTGTACATACGCTTACAGTGTAGCCGAAATCAACGTCAATTTTGTAGACAACTCGTACACATTTTACACCTTTGTGTGCATACGTTTCACTGGACATTTGTCTGATGAAAGTGACAGTGTACATATCATACTAGTCATCGAAATGTCACATAGAAAATTGTGTTGGTTGTGATAAAAGAACTTTTCATAATCAATACTTACAAACCTGAAGAAAATGTTTTTTCTTAAGGCAAGTTATTGCAGGTAATCCATAATCACATACCTAAAAACAATCTTTAAATTGGTATTGAAAATGGCCGAAGGGCCATAACTCTGTGTACCATGAGGCATGAGACCTATTTCATCATGCAATGCTCTACCATTGCAAAAGGTACAAGTTTACATCCAAAATTTAGCAGTTGTAGATGATATATTTCTATATGTTCTAGACAAAGTGAAGCACAGTGAACAAAGGCATTAGTTCCACATACAGAAAACAGATGGACATAGTACAAATCTAGCATCCCCTCTGATCTGGTAGTAGCGGTCAGAACAAAGACCTTTGTATAATTTGGAATCTCAACGCCAAAATTTAGTCCCTCCCCTTTGATCTCTTGGAAGATGAGCAACTTTGTTTGCATAATTTTGAATCCAGACCTCTATAAGGATGCTTCTAACCAAGTTTGGTGAAATTTGCTAAGCAGTTTTTGTGGAGAAATATTTTAAAGCAATATGTAAAATACCCCTTTGCCAATAGATAGACATTAACACAAAATACCAAACTATGGCTTAAGTTCACCCTGGTCTTTTTTGGACCCGGGGAGTTGAAATAAGGTAGGTAAATCATTTTAGTTTTGAAAATGGATTTAAATAGATCATGCATAGCAGAGCTGTTCATTTTCTGCTTGTTGAAAGTCTGTTTCCTGGTGATACAAGGATGAACTATATTGAGACATATATTAACAAGCGTTTAATTCCTATTTTATTTTAGATCAGCATTACTTACTTATCTGCTTTGTTTAGCAGCGACACATTCACCTGGCCAAGTATGATACTCAGGTAAATTCTGAAATGAAATTCCAAATAAATGAATAGAGTTCACATTTTTACATACCGGTAAGCATATGTCGTATTACTACATAATAAAGCAATTCTGATGCAAAATTACTTGAGCGTGATAACATTCTCAACAATCGTTCATTTTCTGTGTCTTGTTTGGGGACATATTTTTGCAATTTTACTTCACATACTCCTCATCTTCAAATACATACATTTGTTAAAAATAATATCCTATTACAAAAAAAGAGAAGATCAATATCCAATAGGAATGAAGACTAGTTACAAATAATTCAAAATATTTCCTCTTTTTCTTGAGGTTGTATTATTTAATCACAAACATGGTCCCTTCTCCTCGTGTAATTCTTAGATTCCCTGGCCCCTGCTCTAATGCCCCACTTGTTGTATATGAAGGATCACATTCCTGCTGTCAGAAGTGAGGTTTGAGAACAGGTTTGATTTACTCTCGGTGTTGCTCTGTGTACAAATTGATAGAGGATCATGAAAACAGCTCGGACAAGCACAAGCTTACCCATTTTTGTGTGGAAGACACTCTTCCATTTCACGAAAGTGTGTTTTGTGGTTTTTAGCATTGGTATCCAGTTCCTTCAGTGAGGCTTTTTGTTCGCCATCCAAGTCCTGTGATGCTGCTCTGTAACACATGTACATGTATATACATATACTACCTGTCACCCACACTGTCAAGTGTACATAACATTTATTAGCAAAGTTTATGTTTAATATACATGTATCTCAGGTCTTCACAAATACTAAATAAATTCTATAATTACATCAAATATAAACTTTGAATCAGCTACTCTTTAACCAAAAAAAAACGACATTCAAATACAAAATGAGGGAGTTTAACCTTTGCAGATCAAGTATTCCCTACTTTTTAACATTTGGAAATATATACCGGTAGCTCAAATTTGCACTTTACTAATGGACAAAATGTGATCTATTTTTCTGTTGAAGTTTATTAAATTTTAATGGTGAAGCCTAATATGTCTTACTGAATCGACTGTAAGTCTGATATTTTATTTACCTTGTAGTTATATTATAGTAGACAGATTTTGTAATCATCTGCAAAAGTTTACAAGATTAAAAAGCCTATTTGTACATTTGTATAAGAGAAAATGTAATAAATGACGGTCTACATGATTAATATATAAAATGTAATTACTAACTGTTTACAATATCCCTGTATCTTCTTTAGCCGTTTCTTTTGATTGGCGATGCCTGTAAGACATTTCTTCTGTAGTGCCAACATCTCCTCCAGCTTCCTCTTGTACAGGTCATGGTCAGTCTACAGTCAAACACAAATCATATACACACAATATGTTACCGGCAATTAGCCCATGTCTGGAAATAAGACCACCTCTCACTTGTACAAGTCATGGTCAGTCTACAGTCAAACACAAATCATACATACACAATATGTTAACGGTAATTAGCCCACGTCTGGAAATAAGCCCTCCCCTCACTTGTACAGGTCATGGGCAGTCTACAGTCAAACACAAATCATATATACATAATAGGTTACCGGTAATTAGCCTACGTCTGTGAATAAGCCCACCCCTCACTTGTCCAGGGCATGGGCAGTCAACAGTCAAACACAAATCATAGATATATACACAATATGTGACCGGTAATTAGCCCACGTCTGGAAATAAGGCCACCCCTCACTTGTACAGTTCATGGTCAGTCTACAGTCAAACACAAATCATATATACACAATATGTTCCCGGTAATTAGCCCATGTCTGTAAATAAGCCCACCCCTCACTTGTCCAGGGCATGGGCAGTCAACAGTCAAACACAAATCATATATACACAATATGTTCCCGGTAATTAGCCCATGTCTGTAAATAAGCCCACCCCTCACTTGTCCAGGGCATGGGCAGTCAACAGTCAAACACAAATCATAGATATATACACAATATGTTCCCGGTAATTAGCCCACGGCTGGAAATAAGCCCACCCCTCGCTTGTACAGGTCATGGTCAGTCTACAGTCAAACACAAATCATAGACATATACACAATATGTTACCGGTAATTAGCCCATGTCTGGAAATAAGCCCACCCCTCACTTTTCCTTATTTTTCATGCATAGGGAGGGTGCCCGGTAATAAGCCCACCCCCCTTTCTTCAAGTTTGTCTACAAGCATTTACAACAGTATATATGTAGCTAACACAAACACAATGAGTTTATGAGAGTAAAAATCAGTAATTAATCTACATTTTGTTTTTATGGGTTCATTTTTTAATCTACTCTGAATTTGTATTAAAGCTGACAGTGCAAGTTAAAAAGCTTTCAATTGAGATTAAAAAAAAAAAATGGTTTTGAGATCTTTCCCAGTGACAATCTCTTCCGGCTGTTGTATCTAAGGAAGCACCGACATTTTAGAATGTACTTGCTTAGTAACAAGTAGGGGTCTCCTTAAAAGGCCCACTACCTGTCATACTGGTCATCATTTGTTCAACATGTGTGCAAGGTGAAACTACGATACTATATAGTATAGTGTAACTTATAAAACACTTTCACGATTTTAAACCAACATTTTTAGTTGAAAAAAAGGGAAATGGAACACATCTAAGATAACATTTATCTAAGAAAATTGGATGTAATAGTAAANCCCCCCCAAAACAAACACACCGGCCCTGAAAGCTATCCAACTAGTAACAACATCCTGTGTTAAAATAACACTAGCTCCAATTATTTCCATGAGAATGGTTCAATTATCAAATGTCACATTGTTGACGACACACCTGGGAGTGTCACATTTTGCACTTGTTTTGCTAGAAGAGTGTCTACACAATGAAGACTAACAGTTCATAATAAAGTGTTCGTGTATTGGTGCGGTTCTATGCACATGAAAGTATAAAGGTTTTATAGAAAAAAAATCAGTCATATGCCTTTTATTTTATTTTGGATACACAATTTTCAAGAATGTGCCATAAGTAACAACCAGCCATAAGTAACAACCAGCTTGGCAGTGTTTCAAACTCTTCAGGTTAGTACATTTGATTTTTTATATCTTGCACTGTCAGCTTTAAGGTTAGTCTATATATTGTCAACATAAAATCAAAAAGAACATGTACTATTAAATAAAGTCAAATCTATAACCAACAGATAAATATAATTTGCTGTCATCAATAATATATCACATTCAAAAGTATCTCTGATAACATATATATACATTCATCTGTTTGGCATACCTAGATGCCCTCATGTATCTGTCTGGTTTAATTACACAAATAGTCTTTTCTTCCTACAACTTTGGAATTGTCCCAATTAATTTGTATGGTAATTACTGGAGTGTGCGTGATCAGTTATATATGATTATTGTCGACTTCCATTCTTGTACATATGTATTGGGTTTCTGACGTTTTCCTGGTGAATACTTGAGCACACATTGTCTACATAGCCTTCTGGTATCTGTCATCCTCAGGGTTACTGTGTCCAATGTCCTCCCAATCTCTCCAACAAATCAGATGAGACCGTTCTTCATAGAACTGCATACACTACCCCACTCTTTTTACCATATAAGTATTGATATGATGTTTTTTCATCGTTACCTAAAAAAACACCTCAGATATTTCTTTGATATAAATGAGATGGTGATCATTATCTCAATAATATTATATGTAGTATACTGTTTTTGAAACAGAAAAAAAACATCATATCAGTACTTATGGTAGATATCAAAGCCAGATCAGTATCTACAAGGATGCATGTACAGGACGTACAAATTATAAGTACAGATAGCTGGCTAGGAATTCTTGTTATTTTATAAGTCTGCAGACACATATAAAATTTCATTGTGGTGGTGAATCTACCTCAAGCTTTGTGTACAGTAATTACTTCACATGTACATGTGACAGTTCTGTATTCTGCAGTTTTATGCCAAAATACTTTCTCGTGGTTTTAAGACATAGTGCAAGACCGAAAAGGGGTTTAATCCTTGTTGGAATTTTCTTACCTGTTATATTTAAAAACAAGAGGCCTAGAGGGGCCATATTGCTCACCTGGATATTGGAGCAATCATGGGAAAATGTTGTCAATAAAAGTAATTTTGTAAATGTTTCCAAATATGGAGTCTCCTTGCATTTTGGCTTAAGAATGTTCCAGACTAAATGAAATTTTATACTACTCTATCCCTGCATGCTACTGGTCAAATATCATCACCAAGGGCCTCGAGCTCCTGGTAATGCAAAAGAAGTTGTTTAAAGGTTTTTACATGACGACAGGTATGTATATACATACCTAGGCTACTGGCCAACTTTCATCGCCCTGGGCCTCCTGGTTGTTCCGAAGAGGTTGTTTAGAAGTTTTTATATAATTGATGCCTGTGACCTTGAAACTAGGTCAAGGTAATTTATTTTAGAAAAACTTATATTATGGCACTCTGTCCCAGATACCTACTGTAGTATCATCACCATATGTGTCTTAGTTATTTAGAAGTAGGTTTTAACAAATTTGACCCATTTATTAAACCTTCAACGTATGTCATGGTCATTTACTTGAGGAAATCTCATAGCACTAGATCCCAGGTAACTACTGGCCAAATAGCATCACCCTCGCCTCCTGGTAATCCAGAAGAATTTGTTTAAAGTTATTTATATATTTAACCAATGTGGCCTTGAGAGTAGGTCAAGTTTATTAATTGGAGGAAAATTTATAGCACTCCATCTCAGGTACAATGTACCTAAAGCTTTTAGCCAAATGCCATTGCTCTATGCCTCTTGGCTATTCAGAGAAAGCTGTTTAAAGGTTTTGAACGCATTTGACCCTTGTGATCTTGGAAGTAGGTCTAGGTCATTTACTTGAGGAACCTTTATAGCACTTCATGCCAGGTACCTTCTGGTCAAGTATATATCATTACTCTGGGCCTCCTGGTTATTTAGAAGAAGTTGTTAGAAGGACTTTTTCATATTTAACCCCTGTGACCTTGAAAGTATGTCAAGGTCATTTATTTGAGGAAATTTTATAGCGCTACGTCCCAGGTAAATGGTACTGGCAGAATAACGTGGCCCTAGATCCTTTAGTTATTAATAAGAAGTCAATCAAAGAAAAAAATGGACAGATGTCAGACAACACACCATACCAGAAGCTCAACTGGCACTTTGATTTGTGCTAGGTGAGCTAAAAACAACATGTCATGAAATTGGTAAAGAACACAAATAGCAATACAAAATTTCCAAAACATCTTAAGTTCTTAACATTTTCTATATATACTATGTTTGATAGCCTGGAAATAAGTGAAATCACTTTGATTACTTAAAAACTAAGCGATTTCCTCAAATTGCTGCTAATTGATGACCATTTAAAATGTGAACAAATATATATACTACATGAATTTTGGAATTATTGTTTAAATTCTCAAGGGCAAAATTAGGCTTTAACAAACAGTGTATGTATACATGTACCAAAGAAATCACAGCATGCGTAAAGCATTCTGCGATCATCAGACAACAGGTGCATTATATCACGTCATGACCACCAAATATAAGTTTGATAATCCTTAAATACATAAAAGTACATGTACTGTGTGTGCATGTATACACATGACAAAGGTACATTCCAGTTTTAGGTACACGAGTCAAACTTCAAATCCCATTGACTTCTGATCATGATGACAGGCTGTCATAGCAGCATGCCCTTTAAAGCATATTATGTAACCAGTGTTATCTAAACAGTTTTTGTAAATATTAGAATATGAACCTCTGCACACCCTGATTGTTCACAATCAAGTGTCTTGTTTATTTGCACAGGACTGGGGCTTGTCAGTTTACGATTTAACATGTAATATTCTGTATAATGTACTCGATCTTTTACACAGAAAATTGAAATTATATTGTACCTTTCGATAATTTCTAATTTCTGACATCTGTAACTAGCTAGACAATGCCAATTCTACAGGTGCTGGGTTTATACATTCAACACTGATATCCTTGTATATACACCAATTGAATTCAATGCCCATGGACGAAAAATCTTAAACTATAGGGCAAGTATATAGATAGGTAATAGTCAAAACATTCTATTTTTACTTTAAAATATTTGTCTGTATCTTTTTTTTTTATATCAGGAAACAATGTAATCATAAATAACATACTGAATAAATGAGCAGGAAATACATAATTACAGGTACATGTACAAATAGCTTTTTTGATAAATGTACATGTATTAATTTTTCATTCATTTGTAAGTTTTATAAAATTTTATTTTAAAGATTTTTAACAAGTTATTAACATTCTTATATTAGAGTACACATTAGTGATTTTGAGCAAGTGGATAAATTTGGTATAAAGTCCCAATTTTAGAGTTCTGGCTATAGAACCAATAGGAAACACACATGTATTGATAGTTACCTAATGGGTTTCATTATAAAATGTATATCCATATTTGTTACATTTTTACGGGTGAAATAAAAAGTTTTACATAGAAATTGATTTTGATTTATTTTTTCTGTGACAAATAAAACGTTTCACACTAAACTGACCAATCAAAGAGCAGCCAAGGTCACATTTCACGCTTAACTGATCACCAATCTGAGATCTAGAGCATGTTGCATGCACAAACAAGACTTGATGTTTCCTTCTATTATAGCAACATCACAATACAGCAACTGTTGCTTCATCATTTTTCTGCAAGAGAAACAACATGAACCTGATCACAGGTATCAATGTCTTTATAAACCTGATCACAGGTATCACTGTCTTTATAAACAAGTTAATTAAAGTATATACAGTACCTACTTGGTTATATTACTCATACCACACTAATGAATCTCATTCCCAATATTCTAGCTATAGGTTGTATGATGTAATATTTCACTGGTACAGTAAACATATCACTGTTATTAATCAGAAACCCAAGAATATCCTTTACAGTCATATATATAAAAGCACATGTATATTTAATTATAATTTATCAATTTTACAAGTGATCATGATCAAAATATGCCAGTAATTTATTCACAACACATTTATAGCCATTTACATGCATGAAATATCACTGCATGATTTAGTTCTCTAATTAAGTCAGAGGTTTCCATATATATATTAATTTGCTAAACAAGCACTGAAGCAGTGATTTTCTTTTGGCTTTCTCACCATGCCAATCAAAGCTGTATTTTGCCAAAATCATGACATAATTTCCAAAATGGATGTATACAGATAAACACATCGCAAAAATTAAGAGCTGGTTGTGCAGGTGTATATAGGTATCTACTACAATTTTTAGTTTTACATGAAAATTATGTATATGTCTATAAGCTAAGCCTAAGGCTCATTTCATAAAACTCTTCTTTTATTTTGTTATTTGATTTTCTTATAAAAAGTTTGATATCTATTTAAGTACTACGTACATAATTACAAGATGCAGATCTAAATTAACGTTAACCATGTTCATTGTTGATATACATTGTATGTTAAATAAATCTCCCTATAAGATTCCACAGATTCTGATTTCAAACTTTCATACAAATATGGAATTCAAGAAACTCTAGCTGAGTACTGGCAATTTAGTCCTTTAAATCAATGATTAAGGGAAATTAGATGGTCCTCCACATCCGATATGTCAAAATTTGAATTTTTCATGGATTTGTTGCGACTTTTATCAAAATTGATGAAAGTTCATCAGAAAAATTAATGATTTGAAAATATAACTGAACCCTTCAATTTGAATGGTGCCCTTTGCGAGGATTCTTTCTATTCACTGCAGAAGTCTATGTTTCAGGTCTTCATGATCGTCTTTGGGAATGTAAGGAAAGTTAATGGTTCACAAACACAATGAATCAAAATAGCTAGGACAATTGATTTCTGATAAACATGCCTGTAATATCGCCGATATAAATACTTTTGAGTGCACCAATAACATATTTCATTCTAAATTTGAAACATTCACATGTAAACTATGATATCTTAAGTTTTCCCCAGCAATCCTATTTCAAATTGCATTTTTGTTTCCAATTACGCTCAAGGCTCAATTGTATGACGCTTAAGGCATATATACCTGAATCTACATATAACACCAGATTTTAGGCAGTTTGACAGATGTGCATGTACTCCAGACATATAATTCTTCTGATCAAAGACGCTTACAGCTCAAAATAAATACTGGTACATGTACATTGCATATTGCAAAAGTAGAGAACAGGAAAACCTTTCTACCAATCTGTAATTGACTAAGTGATTAACATACCCAGCAAAATCAAAATGACTACTAGCTGGTGACCGCTTTGTTTTCCATTCAAGCTGAAAATGACTTAAAAAAAACATGTTGAGAGAAGCCTAGATACTGATAGGAACTTTGAAACATCCCTCCAGTGCTTTCTCAGAAATAATGGTAACAAACTTTAGCAGCACTGTAAAATTACAAGCTGGCCACCTGCATGGCAGCCATTTTGATTTTTTTATCAGCATCAAAAATTACGTAGAAAATGCACAACTAATTTGTAAGGGCCCAGAACAATTTACAGCTAGCTAAAAACCAACATACAGTGAAATCTAATATCGTTCCAGTACTTCTCGACTCACCTCTACAGGTGCGGGATCGGGAAAAGAATACACCTGCTGTTACCCACTGCATGTATCGTAGGAGGCAACTAATGTGGTAACACCCCTGCAGAATTAGGGATTTGCTTTGGTGGCCTCTATTTGGGGACACAAAAGCAACCAAAATGAATCTGCTGCACCTATTGCAATATCTTTCTTTCTACTTCTAACTACCTTTTATTTCCTAGCGCCTTGCTTGGCAACACCTCACTTTTGGCTGGAATGTTGAGTGTTCACCCAGGTGAGGAAGGCAATGGGTTCTGTCCCCAGGCCGGGACATACTAAAGTCCTTAAAAATGGTAACTGTTATTCCCTGCTTAACGTTCATCATTTAGGGGAATGGCAACAACTTGTTTCAGTGAGATAGCACTATAAAGTCGGCATCAGATCACAAGGAGACAAGCACATCAACATACCCCGTCTCCTGCATACACACACGCAAGCAATTGCAAGCACACACTACACACATGGAGGCATGTCCTTAAATGACCTTAGCTGTTAATAAGACGTAAAACAAAATTAAAACAAACCAAACTTCTTGACTAAAAGCGATGACAAGAATTGATTAAGGATGAACCAATAAGAGACTGACTAATGAAAGAATATGATAAGAACGTCTAATCATGTGATGATAGAGGGCTAAAAAGTGTAAAATAAATGTTCAGATTACATATAGATGTGCAAAATGCACAACATGAACAAGTACCATATACACTGTATGTTCAACTGCACATGTTCATTTTAAGATACCAATTCCCATTTGTCATAAACCCTCCACTCCAACCAGTAGATTAGCAACACAAATAATTCAAATGCTCTTTATTGTGCATGAAATTACAACCAGGTTATATCACATTCACAACAGTAAAGTCAGATCTACACATTGGAACTGCACAGCTGTGAAAGCCTAAAGTGCCGACATGACCATGTCATTATTAATTTAATATAATTTCACTGAGATTGATTGCTTAAAAAGACAGAGATGACGTTGTGTCACCAACGTTAACCACTATCATTACCATATATATAAAAATTACAAATCTTAAAATAGCAAATGTTATATCTTTTCAACAGGATGGAGGTAAGGTTGCAATATTGTACATGCATCATTAGGTGTAAGTGTTACCCATATTTTCTTAAAAAACCCAACATTGACCTTTGATCTGTTAGCAAATGAACAGTCCAAAGATATATAGCAGAACGGATCCGGAATATAAACCAGAAACCAATTATGTCCATGCATCATTTCTTTTCTTCTTCAATTTTTTCAAAGAGGATCCGACACATACAGTTTTGAAATTTTACACTGGGTCAGGGATATTACTGTTTGGGGTGGTAGCCTGGTCAGGCTGGTGTGGAACATCAGACAGTATAAGGATTAAGGAAGCATTGTCGTACACAAAATTGTTTCATGGTTTTGTATGGATACTAAAACTTACCACATAAACTCAATCACCTTATAAATTCCCTGTTACTAATAGCCACTGTCAACAAAAGAAGAGTGTCTCACCTATCCAGCCTCCTCTCCTACAGTCCCCATCTCCCCATCCCCACCAATCCCCAATCTGCCCTGCCTTCTCCACACCACCCATTTAGGACACCAAATGTTAGCTCTTTACCCCCAATGAATATGACGATATAGGGAATACATGTACTTACTTTTGAGAGATGGTCAGTTTTAAGCATATTATAGGTATTTTTTGTATTATTTTTATTATTATTTTTTGACAGAATTTCAGGCTCCTGTGGTTTTATCATCCCCCTCCTCCAAAACAAAAGTCTTTAAAAACACCCAGACACACCTCCCCCACCACCACCACCACCACCCAGAGACGTACGTCTCTGCACCACCATACAACATTTACAGACAGACAGACAAACAGAACTTAACTGTTCAAGACACAAGTGACTACACTTGGTTTACTATAGTTAACGTAGGCTCCATGTGTGACGCCAAACTACTATAGTCTAAACTGGCCTGACTACTTTGTTGGTCGTAACTGTAAGTGCGTAACGTTATAATTTCTCAGTGTGACTGTTCATTGTCGGTCGTTCTTGCATTGGAATTGATTTTCTTGGTCCTTAAACATAACCTGAATGTTACCTCCAATTGCATGTATTCCTTTTCACAGTCATTCCACTCATCCAGGCATGTCTGGGTTGTCACAGCATCGGATGAATCCATCTTTGCGAATGACTCGTAACCGAAACGTCGACTGCAACAAATATCCTAACGTATCGTACACAAACTGTTTATCACCTTTACGTTATCGTATAGCAACAAGAACGAAGCAGCGTGAATTTTCACTGTTCACTATATTGGGTCAAAGTGCAGTTCAACATCATCTAAACGCTTCCGTCAAAAAGAGTTAAGGATGCATGAGTATCAAAACCAAATGAAAAGGAAAAGTACAGTTCTGCATTTTACAAACCTATAAATATTTCAATTATGAAGAAACATTAATGTGTATTATCTTGTATGTCGTTTAATGTGGTAAAATTTCCTTATACAAAAGCACGTATTTAGATCATCTAATTCCGTAATAAAATTTAAGATTTAGTCAATCTACGAAATTTAAAATTAGAATTGCTAAGTAGCACAAAAGTACCGCTTCTGACACAGGGTCATTGAGTAACATCTAATTCCGTGATAATACTGAACCAATCAATCATATCAGGCTGGCCTTTCATGCACTATTATATATTTTGGTTTCCATAAGTGCCCTGCCGATATAAAAGACTGTCTATTGTTAGTTTTAACACGGACTTAATCGCTTAATTATCTTATTCCGTGGTTTTAGGTACTTTTAACATAAAACAAGGTCGGCCTAGTAGCATATATTTTAACAGAGACGTATATATACGTCTCTGATTTTAGAAAAGAGTATGTGTTTTGGAAAATATACGGTTGAAAGAAGACACAAATTATAACTATTTATAATTTGTCACATAACTCTAAAAATGCATTTTGAGCTCTGTCTGTTTTACAAACTCCCTGTGTACCAGTGTATTCGTGACGGAACATTATTTGTCACATCAGTGATCACGGAATTATATTTAAGTCCGTGGTCACATCAAAGCAGCTAGAGACGTACATGTATATTACATATAAACGTCTCTGATCACAGATTACTTTTACATAAATTAATGCATACATGAATCAGATAGACTATATACTGTCTAACCGGCAAAGCTTAGATAACACATTTTGATTACTCTCAAATGATCATCAACCAATTTTCAAAAAAAAAAAAAAAAATTGTTTCAGAAAATGTTAATAAAAACTATACAGGAGCACACAAATGATTATTTAAAGAATTATGATTAAATTGTTCGGAAAATAAAAGAGAAATTCTCAGCTCATGATAACATTTCTATTATATAATTATGGACTTCGGGTGAGGTCTATCCCTGATTTATGAACCTGGTCTGAACAATATTCACAGAGGCCCCCTGTGAATATTTTTCAGGCCATGTCAGTAAATGGTTTTATTATATGACATTTTACAATGTGAATAATAATTTTACAAGTGATAAACCAGAGACGTATAATGTATGGCATCAGAGACGTATAATACATACGTCTCTGATGGCATGGACCTTTTTGGAATCACAGAGTGAAGGACTTCAAATACAAAAAAAAACATACACACAAATTTCATTTCATACCAATTCATGTGATATTTAATTTCAAGTAAATATTATTTGCACAATCGACATCATCAATTTGCAAATAGTTCAGAATTTGATGAGATAATTCATGTTTAGTTGAATTCAGTAGAGTGATTGGTAACAGAATTACAGACTGGCTGGGAATTTACCCTGGACTATTTTTTAGTAGAGGTTTGCATCACTTTTCTATTTATAGGTCGAGGTTTGTAACTATTTTCTATTCCTAGAACGAGGTCTGTAACATATTTACAGACTCGTCACATGACGTCGCTCCTCCAATCAGGGCTGGGAATTAGTACCAGCACGATGTATACCAGTTATATAATAAGAGCGAATATCCACTATTTATATCGCAATTGACCGAAATATTTTTGAGAGAAAATGTTTCTGTTTTTCAATGGTAAGCATGTGTAATACGTTATTTACGTCAGAGTGATCGCCTAATAAGTGGCTATTTAGATATATTCCACGGGGCTCGTATCCATAATTTTCATCCAACATGCAAATTTATTTTTAACCAATGAAATCACGGGACCGCTTTTGCTGCAGAAAACAATATGGCATCATGATGAATGAACCCATTCGCCGACCAGATCAAATATCTCCGAAGTCGAGTCCCCGGGGGTCACGTTCACCAGCCTACCCCCGGGCAGACTCATCAGGAACCCTCAGAACAACCATAAGTCTAGGACGTGTGCCGACGGTCATACATTCTGGACCGTTCTATCTGGTGAAAGACATGGGGTCTGGAACGGCCAGTGAGTTTGTTAGATCTGTCATCTACTCCTATAACATAAGAGGCCGCTGGTCGGCTTTTTTTGCTATCGGATATGATGTCAAGAGTATCTCGCCGTCCTGTCTGCTTCGATTTCTGTTGTAAATGCAAAAACAATACGGGATTTAGCCCGAGTTTCCTCTAGCTCTAACACAGACTTTGACATACAGACTCGTCAAAATGTCTAAGTCTGGTGTTAGAGGAAACTCGGGCTATAAATGATTTTGAAGATTATTAATGACTTATCATCATACATAATAAGTATCACATTGCATGCAAATACCAATGCGAAGTATCACCGGACCCGGCTCTTATATTTGCTGTCTTGATGTAAACAGTCAGTGATAGAATCAAAACATTGACCTGAACACCCTATATTTTGTAGTTGTCTTACTCTTAATTAACAGCTCACAAACCCCTCTGACATTTAATATAATTGGTAAATGGATGAAAAACTCAGCCCTGATTTTCCCCCCAGATATCCTACATGATACATTCAAATAGTTTCTGAGTTCTAACAGCAGTAGAAGAAATGATTCCAAACTCAGAAATTTGTTATTTTGTCAAAAAAAAAAAAAAAAAAAGTACATGTACATGCCAGGATAACCTGAGCTACCTCTAACGTTAGCCCAGACTAACACATTTTCACAGGTAGATGTCTGGTGTGGGGCAAGAGTAATACTGTATGAAAATGTGGAATTCTCTGACACCATTTGGTATTGGAGAGTTTTACTGTGCTGACAACAAAAATCTACTTTAATACAACACATACAATGTACCTCACATAATACTTATATTGATGAATTGGTTATATATTGATTCAAATCCACCCTTATTATCACCAACAGCTGCTTCATTCCATCAGAAGAGCCCTTGGTTTTCAATCGTATCAAATTTCCCACCTGAGCAAAGCAGTTTTGTAGGTCATTTGAGTGACTATAGCTATTACTCAACAAAAGAGGCGATCTGGAAATCTTCTAAACAAGAACAATATATTCTGTTTTTGGTCTTGATCAATACTGTTTGTTGATAAGCCCTCCCATAATCTACATTAACAAAATGGTGTCACTCAGGTGGAAACCGGGACTCTACTGATGGAATTTAGCAGCTGTAGCAATTGGTGATAATAAGGGCAGATTTTAAGCAACAGATAACCAATTTATCGATACATGTGAGGTATATATGTGTTGTGTTCTTGTGTTGTGTCATATATAGTAGATTTTTGTTGTCAGCACCTCGAAACTCTCCAATACCAAACGATATAGGGAGAATTCCACATTTTAATAGAGAAGTGCACTCTATCCCCACACCATAAAAACCAGAAACAAAAGGTTAAAATGTGGAAAAGATGTCAAAATATATCAATAGCAAACAAATTGGTTGTATATATCTTATTATAGAGATCAATTGAATGTCAATAATCATATATTGATAATGATTGCAAAGTATGTCAAATAAACGTTTCATAGAGGGTACATTATAAATCTGTCAAGTATTTGTCTGAAATCAGCACATTCAATCATATTTTCTTTTAGTGTTTGACTCTAAATGGTTAATCACATCATCCATCACAATAAGGTTGGTCTTTGTTATTTAAAATGGAAATCTGAAGGTTTTCATCAACAAATATGCAAATATCCCCATTAAGTGCAAATAATGAGCATACATTTTCATCTATTAACAAACAGATCCTTCAGAGATGACGGGAAGTAACAACCTCATCATCCATTATGATCTGGAACATTCCTACAGCAAGTTCTGTAAGAAGGAGGGTAAAGAAGAACTCAGTGCATTCCTGCCAAATCTTCCTGGCTATATAGACGCTCCTGGTATCAATGATAACAGGTATCTATTGCAATGGTAGTGGGACATGACTCTGAAAACTATAATTAAAAATATACAGCATAATCTCTAAGTGTGGCCAGTATACTTAGAAAAGGATGATGTACATGTTTATATTATAAGGTACACAAAATTGTGTTGCCTGGACATGTAAATTCCACTAATTGTTACTTTGCTGCATGCCACAATTTGAATTATACCATGTTTTCCTAAACACAATTTTCTCTCTATAAATAGCATATATCATTAGTTAATATAATAATATCATGTGATTTGACATTAAGTTCTATATCATATTCCTTCCCCAGTTGCCCAAAATATCACATGTGAAAACCATTCTTTTATAGACCGAAACATTGGAAAACAAGGGAGATAACTTGTTTTGTAATTGCATGTCCATAAGTTCATTTGGTAGTCATCACCTATGGAGAGTTTTTAGCCCAAAATCATCTGAATATTTTTAGCCCACAATCATCAAAAGTAGGTTTGATGCAAGTTTGGTAGAATCTAAATAGAAGCTTTGTGGTAATGATAATCTTCATGATCACAACACTGTGGCCCTGGTAGTCATACATCTGCATCAATTGCATGCTTGCATTGGCTGACATTAACTTCCCATCAAGTAATCTGATAAATCAAAACAAAATGATTGGATTGTGTAAGTTGTTATGGAAAGGCGATTGTTAACCAATGAAAGCATTCTTTTCTATTTTGCAGTTCTCTCAGGTCACTTATAGATAAACCGCCCATTACCGGAAAGGAACTAAACCCCTTGTCCAACAGTTCTCTGACAGGTTTCCGTCTCCACCCTGGACCGGTATGTATCACAAAGTTTTTCTTACTAGAACTGACTCGTAACATAAACCAAATTGACAATCAAAGCAATCATTTTATAAGTTGCAGATAACTTTACCTCTGATTAGGGGGTAGGCCATGAGGAGGTATCCTGCTATCTTTAAATCATTAGTTAATTTCTTCAATAATACTGATGAGAAAGGGGTAGACAATGTCAAGGTCACAATAATCTATTTTTGGTTCCATAGAATAAGTTTATTCCCCCTTTGACAATCATTGCGTTTTAATAAAGAGTTTATTTGGGATCGCAGGTTTAGTCTCAAAAGGACATTGTTAAATGAAAAGTGAATTGGTTGTGATTTGTTACTTTAGTGTTCCATCATTTGTTAAGCTCACCTTTATTTTTAGAAATCTTCACAATTTTATCAAGCATCTCACAGAATGAATTTGTTATTTTCTTGTATATTTACCAGTACCAGACCTAGTCTCCCACCAGCAATATAATATATGGGGTGATAAAACCTCCATGTATCAATCCATCCTCGATACTCTAGGGGTTACGCTCACATTTGCTCTCTGCGACCATGGAATATGTCATAGCAAAACTGAAGGCACAATGATAGCTGTTTGATTGGACTCGGGTAAAAAAAAACACCTGACCAATCCCTTGGCTGATACCTGTCCTTTGAAGACTACAAAGGAGAGACGCCCGACTTCGAAGCCTGTAAATTTTTACCGTTACGTGACCGCGAGATTCTTTTGATGTATATCAAAGGATCGAACTAGTATTCTTGTCTCTTCAACAATGTGGCGCACACTGAGCCTTCTTCAACTTTGCTATGACATATTCCAGGGGTGTATAGAGCGAAAGTGAGCATAAAGTTATCGAGGATGGTATCAATCTGTCCAGAGTATATCTCAATAATTCAGTCACCTACAATAGAAAAATGTACATGTCTACCTTTTTGGATGGCAGAATTTTGCTTACTGAACTGGGTATTGTGCCACACTGTATATAACGTTATGGCCCTTTGATCCTTTTTATAGCAAATCTCTACTGGCCTTGTTTGAGTTTGCAATTTGGATATTTAAAGTCATTCCTCCTCGTAATAGTGTTTTTCCAATAACTAAAAAAAAACGGTATTTAATACAAAGATTTATTGCAAACAGATTGTGATCATCAATAATGAAAAAATGTTTAAGTACAAATTCGTTAAAAATTTAGGTTCTGTGTCAAGGACATATTGCCTTTTCAATTAAATTATATATCCATTTTATATGCATTTTTACCAGAAGTCTTATTTCAAACACTGTTAAATATCTCAGCCTTACAAAGTAATAAACTATCTGTTAAATATCTGGGCCTTACAAAATAATAAACTTTCACTAGAAGTACTATTTCAAACACTGATATAACATGATAAAATCTTTGCTGATTAATATGAATTGATATTTGAATGTTTCAGGGTTTTTTTTTAATTGTCGTTTTAAATCATTCACAAACTGATTTCAAACAATTCTAATCTAACTGACATGTAGCAAAATAACTTTGATAGAAAAAGTATTTGATCTAGGAAACTTCATGAAAAAGAACTTTTGGCTTGTAAAATTTTCAAACTGTAAATTTATGTTAGCTCTTTTGAAATTTTCTCTTAGCTGCCAGAGCAATATAGGTTTATGAACCAGATGCCAAAGAAAAAGCCCAAACCAAAGCGGAAAAAGGATGAAAAAGCAAGTGCTTTACAGGACTATCCTGGTGAGTTATTATTGAAAGCGGTTTACGTTACATTGTATATGTATCTGAAATGTCTGGCCAAATCAACAGTTGTGTTTTCTGTTCCTTGGCAGGTATATAACTTTGACCCTGGAACACTTCATTCACTTGTAAATAATGAACAAAAATAATTCAGTGTTTTCACAAATTTTGCAAGCATAGTGCTGGTATTTTGCTTTCATCCTGAAATAGTTTTCATGGTAATGTCTTAATACAAGACAAGTCCTTTTGTTCAAACAATCCACGTGTCCTTCAAGGATAATGTGATCTAGGTAGTTATGAAATATATGTAATATTTCATTTCTGAGTACTAGACGCATCTCTGTTGTTTGGTTCTCTTAAATGGAAGTACATATATGTTTCTTTGGACAGAAGGAAATTCCTGTAAAAATCATTTATCTTATACTGGATAATCTTTTTACAGATAATCCTGTAGAAGGTGGACATGATAAAAAGACCAAGAAACCAAAACATGATACGGAGAAACAAAAAAGAAAAAAGAAGAAAAAGAAAAAAGTGAAGGAAAAAGATGAAGGTGAGATTTTGTAACATAGGACTTAACTGTCTGCCATAACATCTAATAATGCTCCCAATATTTTGGTGAAGAAGATTTTCTGTGATTGAAATACCATATAGCTGGCAGTTTCACAGGGAGGATATGTTTATGATTTTATTGGTAATGGTCTAAATAACAAAATTTGGATGCATATAATATTCTGACAGAGGATAAAACCATCAGACCTGTATGTAATAAATTGAATATTTTTAAGGGAAAATAAAAGTTGCATAACATATTTACTGACACTGCAAAACACTTTTATTCTACCTGTATCTTGTGTACCGGTATATAAAAATTCAGTATAGTTCTCTGTGAAAATTTTAATTTGTGTATTCCAAAATCACAAATATTTGAAAAGGAAAATTTCCAATAATTTTGATTTCAAATTGACAGCAAATAGAACTGCATTATTTACCATCTATGCTTTCTGTTATTCAAAATTCTGCATTCAAAATGCCAACTATTCTGTAACTAATATAAAAAGATATATTGATGTGTAGGGGTACCTGGCATATTTATCCATTAACTGTAATAAGTATCAATAGTAAAACCTTATGTAGGGCTTTACTTCATGCATATACCCATTAATACGGTCTATAACAGAGGCAAGGATAATGATGTCATATTCACTTAATAGATATAGGTGACTCCAAGAAAAACCAAGGATAATAGTGTTAATACAATCTTTTGGTACACCAGAACATAAAACCAACTCTAAGATTAAGAAGTTGATAGACAGTAAACAGGTGTTTATAAATTGTTTTATTATTAATAAAAGATGAAATCAATAGTCTGTCAGGGACTATTGTGCTAATACATCAATTCATTTTGAATTATGGAAATGTTCATCCGAATATAAAAAAAAAATGTACAAAACTTTCCTAATTTGACTTATTTGTGCCTATTTCAGAGTCCCAGTCCTGAATATGTAGTGGTGTCAGTAGAGTGGTGTATAAAAGTGCAATATGTGTAGTCATGGAGTCTACAACCCTGTCAGAGCTGTCCTAGTCACGTGACTGACAATGGACTTAAACTGGAGTGACAGCCTGATCATGTGACTGACAATGGACTAAAACTTGAGTGACAGCCTGATCATTTGACTAATAATGGACTAAACTGGAGTGAGAGCCTGATCATGTGACTTACAATGGGCTAAAACTGGAGTGACAGCCTGATTATGTGACTTTCGATGGGCTAAAACTGGAGTGACGACCTGATCATGTGGCTGATAATGGACTAAAATTAAGGTGACAGCCTGATCATGTGACTGATAATGGACTAAAACTGGAGTGACAGCCTGATCATGTGACTTACAATGGGCTAAAACTGGAGTGACATCCTGATCATGTGACTGATAATGGACTAAAATTAAGGTGACAGCCTGATCATGTGACTGATAATGGACTAAAACTGGAGTGACAGCCTGATCCTGTGACTGATAATGGACTAAAACTAGGGTGACAGCCTGATCATGTGACTGATAATGGACTAAAACTAGGGTGACAGCCTGATCATGTGACTTACAATGGGCTAATACTGGAGTGACATCCTGATCATGTGACTGATAATGGACTAAAACTAGGGTGACAGCCTGATCATGTGACTGATAATGGACTAAAACTAGGGTGACAGCCTGATCATGTGACTGATAATGGACTAAAACTGGAGTGACGGCCAAGGCCTGTGACTAATTATAAACTACACTGGAATGACAGTTGGGTCATTGACTAACTCAACTAGTCTGGAGTGTTGCTTGATCATGTGATTGACTTCAGATTACCATGGAATGTCAGCCTTGTCGTGCGACTAACTTTTGACTACACTGAAATGTTGGCCAGTTCATGTGACTTTGGACTACACTGGAATGTCAGCCTGTTCATGTGACTTTGGACTACACTGGAATGTCAGCCTTGTCATGTGACTTTGGACTACACTGGAATGTCAGCCTTGTCATGTGACTTTGGACTACACTGGAATGTCAGCCTTGCCATTTGACTACAATGTAATTGCCAATGTTAGCCTGGTTTGGTGACTCGCTTTGTACTTGACCTTGCAAGACTTTAGTAGTCAACAGTTAAGTACCGGTGCTTGTTTGGACAGTTGTTATAATGTCACCGCGCTCGATTTGTTATCCTGCTGCAGTGTCTCATGGAGATTGTATGTAATAGCCTACAGCTATCTCAGTGATTACAAACATCATCAGATACTTGGAGATGTCACAAGGTATTATTTACTGTCTCGGATAGAAACTTCTATACAAATGTGATGTAATCAGTTTTGGAAAATTTCTCATCAAGTAAATATTTTCTTAGTATGAATGTTTTTGCTACTTCGGGACAGTATTTTCATGTGCGAATGTGTTTTATATTTACATCACACCTGAGCAATTGATTGAGATCTAGAACAATACCGCAACATGAACGGTTTAAAGAGACAGATATCCGCAACAATGACATGACCAGCTCCACGGTGTGGTAAAGTGGAGGCAATAACTAGTTAATGTTAACTTATCATTACAGATGTGTTACAGATATTACGTCTTCAAACGGTTACGTGCTAATGATAAATTTCTCTTTGATTTTTTTATGTAATAAAGGTGAAATGTGAAATCATAACTGTTGTTGTTTTTTTAATTGATGCCATCTACTCATTCTGAAAGTACAACAATTCATATACTATATATAATGTATTATGTTCTCATTGTACGGTAGATATATGAACATTTAAAAAAAAATCGGGAGACATGTAAAGCATAAGTGCTTTCATGATCAATCTTCTGAAAATTGATGAAGAATGTGCTAATGCTTAACAGATATAAATGTTTATGATTTTACCTCACCTGGCCCGAAGGTTATAAGCTTTTGATGTGGTTTGTCGTCCGTATGAATAACCAATATGCCCAGGATGATGAAATTTTGCCAATAACATGCTGGAATGAAGGGGTACCAAGTTTGTTCAAGTGAATGACCTTGACTTATATTCAAGGTCACGGGTAACAATTATCTTCAAACACTTCCCAACAACTTCTTCTGAATATCCAAAAGGCTAAGGATGATGACATTTTGCCGGTAACATGCTTGAATAAAGAGCTACCAAGTTTGTTCATATGAATGACCTTGACTCGTATTCAAGGTCACAAGGATCAATTGTCTTACAAAACATATATATACAAGTTATAAATAACAAAAGGGCCAAGGATAATGATATTTGGCCAGTAATATGCTGGGATGACAGCTAACTTTATTGTTCATCTATGTTTCAGACATTCATCTATAATCAAGGTCAATTGTCTTAAAAAACCCAAAAAACTTCTTATGAAAAACCAAAAGGACCAGGTTGATGATATTTGGTCAGTAGCATGCAGGGATGATGTGGACCTATGTTTGTTTGAATTATTTAATAAACTTTTATTCAAGATCATATCGGTCAATTATGTAAGTGGTAAAAAACTTCAAATGACTTAAAATAAAAATACAAAATGACTAGAATGATGATGTTTGGCCAGTATCATGTTGGGATGAAGGGCTACCAAGTTTGTTCAAATGAATGACCTCCACCATATTCATGGTCATAAAGGGGTCACTTGTCTTATAAACAACAATTTTAAACAACTTAAAACTGAATAACCAAAAGGCCAAGGATGATTACATACAGCCAGTTACATGCTCAGATAATAGCTACATTTTTTTTCTTCTTATGAATGACCATAATCAAGGTCACAGGAGTAAATTGGTTGAACACTTCTAATTTCTAAATACCCAAAATGCATAGGGGGTAATATTTTGCCAGATGAAGAGTTTTCAAGTTTGTTCATGTGAATGACCTTGAACCACTTTCAAGGTCACATGTTCAAATGTTTATAATCATTTAAATGACCTCATCTCAATATTTGGCAAGTTGCATGCTGAGATGAAGTTTGTTCAACTTAATGACATTGTTAAGATTTTCAAGGTCACAGGGGTCAAATGCATTGAAATCTTAACAGATTCTTTTTAATTTGTTTGACTTAGATTCATAGATACTGATTTTTGCCTGTAGCTTTATTTTAGTCACTTTTTAAGATTACAAGTATGAGATTACTAACAAGTGAACAACACTACAGGCCCTTGGGCCTCTTGTTAAATTTTCATATTCATAACTTAAAAAGATAACAACTGTAAATCACAAACTTTTGCATGAATTTTAGTGGGTTTTTTTTTAGAATGATTGAATTTGCATGTAAGAGGATAAAAGCTACTTCGATATTCATATTTATTATGAAATAAATATTGAACTTAAAAATCATAATTGATCATCATAAGCTGTTTTTTTTGGTTTATCCCATAACACATACATACATTTGTTCCGGAGCTAAACCCATAAACAATGGTCATTTTCAGCATCTCATTAAGAACCATAAAGCCAAAAGTCATTCGACCAGGAGGTAGATTGGACCAAGGGATGTCAAAAATGTTCAAATTAATTCCTTAATGATTAAGTAGCTGAAATGGAGGGCTAACAGTTGATCAAGTAAATGACCTTCATCTTCATTCAATGCCACGTACAGGTATCAAGTATGCTATACATTTAAATAACCTCAGTTCTAGAAAACCCAGTGTAACCATATTGAAACATTTGGTAGCTTGTCCTTGAGTTGGAGAGCTAATTAAATTGTTAAAATCAATGATAAGGGAGGGGTCAAATATGTCGGAAAATCTTTACCTAAAGGTTTGTGGTAAGTAGGTATCTGGGATTTAGGGCCATCAGAGTTGTTAAAATACATTACATTAACCTTCATTCAAGGTAAAAAGATCAAGTATGGCTTCTCGGTTTAAGAAGAGCTTGCATATTATATGACGTGAAGGTAGGTAGCTGGGATGGAAGGCTATATCAAAGTTGTTCAAATAATATTGACCATTGTGGCACAATAAATATATGTTTAGATATAATTAATTGCTAATATGCTTTAAGAGTACATCATGCCTCCTGTAAAATGTAACCTACTTTAAAATATATGCCCCACATCCCATAATATATTCACCATGAAATGTATGCTCTATTTGAATTCGACCCAACTGTACTGATCACATCACTGCACGAGTACTGGAGTGGGTCATGGAAATAAAATGAGGAGACATGAAAGGAATGCATTAGAGCATAGCTACATCAGTAACAGTAAACTCGACTCAGCTATTTCTAAATAGCTGGGTCCCCGTGACGCACACCATAGAAACCACAAACGATGGTGACAATAATTACTCGTATTTCGTATTTCGCTAACATATCAGCAGCGAAACACTCATTTGAATATCTTTCATAATGTGTACCTATACGAGTCCTGAGGTGAGTACAAGTTTGTCTAAACGAGTGATCCTGAGGCGAGTACAAGTTTGTCTAAACGAGTCCTGAGGTGAGTACAAATTTGTCTATACGAGTCCTGAGGTAAGTATAAGTTTGTCTATACGAGTCCTGAGGTGAATACATGTAAGTCTATATGTGTCATGAGGTAATTTTTTAAGAACTAGTTTGTCTGTTTGTATGTGACAGACGATCTTTTACCTTCCTTCACGTGACGGGCGTACACGTTTGAGATGTTACCTTCAAATATGTGAGGATCGATATATAGGCTATTACCTGCCTATGTGACGGACGTACACGTTTGAGATATTTTTCTACACGTGACGGACGTACAATTTTGAGATATTAACTGCCTATGTAACGTATACGTACGATATATTACCTTCCTGCATGCTACGAACGTAGAAGTTGAGACATAACCTGGATATATATATGTGACGGACGTACACGTTTGAGATACTTTCCTTCACGTGACGATACAAGTTTGAGATATTAACTGCCTATGTAACGGACGATATATTACCTTCCTAATGGAACGGACGTAGACGTTTGAGATATTACCTGCCTTCGTGACGGATGTACAAGTTTGAGATATTAACTGCCTTCGTGACGAACGTTCAAGTTTGAAATACTACCTGGCTCCGTGACGGGCGTACAGGTTTGAGATGCTACCTGGCTCCGTGACGGGCGTACAGGTTTGAGATGCTACCTGGCTCCGTGACGGGCGTACAGGTTTGAGATGCTACCTGGCTCCGTGACGGGCGTACAGGTTTGAGATGCTACCTGGCTCCGTGACGGGCGTACAGGTTTGAGATGCTACCTGGCTCCGTGACGGGCGTACAGGTTTGAGATGCTACCTGGCTCCGTGACGGGCGTACAGGTTTGAGATGCTACCTGGCTATGTGACGGACATACAGGTTTAAGATATTATTTTCGAACAAAATAGTGCGCAACAATGCTAACAGTTGTCTGTTTGTTTGTCTGTCAAAAAGGTAGGAAATAGCTTAAACTTGTGCGTGAACTTTAGATAAAGCCACTCTTTCAGTCGCCCATTTGCTCTTAACTTATATACTGAAATGAATTCCTCTTTGGGCATATGATGCAGACGTAGTATTACTTTTTAACTAATCGTACCTTTCTCAGATGTTCAAAGGATTTCGGTGCTAATATTGAGACCTATATGTCAGAATGTCGTTGGTGTGCGTTTCACTTTAAAAGATAGTTGGTATGGGTTTCTGTTTTGAGAGGTATTTGGTATTTATGGTTTCCGGTTTGACAAGTCGTTGGTAAAGTTTACTGTTTTGCGAGGTCGGTGGTACGGTTTACCGTTTTGAGAGGTCAGTGGTACGGTTTACTGTTTTGAAAGGTTGCTTGTATTGGTTCCTGTTTTAAGAGGTCGGTGGTACAGTTTACCGTTTTGAGAGGTCGGTGGTAAGGTTTACCGTTTTGAGAGGTCGGTGGTACGGTTTACTTTTTTGAGAGGTCGTTTGTATTGGTTCCTTTTATGAGAGGTCGGTGGTAAGATTTACTGTTTTTAGAGGTCGGTGGTAAGATTTACTGTTTTGAGAGGTCGGTGGTAAGATTTACTGTTTTGAGAGGTCGTTTGTCGTTTTAAAAATAGTTACGATTCAATTAAAGATAGGTTCAAATATGAAGAATTAAACGTCAATTGAATTGAACCTATCTCCAATTATTTGAATATATGTTAATTTGGCGTTAGAGCAAGTCTATGGAATGCCCAATTAATATATATATTCAATTAATTGTACCTTTTTCAAATAATTGAAGATATGTACAATTAATTGAAGATAGGTGCAATTCCATTGAAGATATATAGGTCCAATTTAATTAAAGATCGGACAAATTCAATTGAGGATATGTTGTATTTATACCTAGCAGGTTCAGTTCATTTGTTTTAATTCATTAATTCTGTCTTTAATTTTTTAAAGATAGGTTCAATTAATTAAATACAAGGGATTGTACTATTAATTATCAGATTCCCGCGTTTTGAGTTCCCATTCGTGATGAAGTACAATTTAAGTCTTTTAATGTTAAATAATATAGTCGTAGCTAAATTACATTATCCGAAATTTCTGTGCGAGTCGCATCGTAATGAGATTTCCCGCGTTTTCTTCGGATCTATTTTAAGATCCACTCTACTTTCACTTTGCTTCTCGTCTTGATCTATGAGACGTTTGGATAAACATGGAGTGACTGAGAACTTTGACCCACAATTGCCTGTGGACCCACGATGTAACAGCGAATATGTTGGTCAGTTCTATCTATCATCACAAGATTGATATGTGATATTTAACAAATTACTGTCATAGATTGATTACAACCCTGTACAAGATTATGGTCTGTTCGGACCAATCGGTTCGTGAAGCTTGCTTGAAGGATATCGATGTAGCTTTTATTAGTACTAGGGTAAAGCCATATGGATCTGTACTGTAAATGTTAATGCAGGCCTTGAAAATCTTTGCCAAATCTAGCTCAAGTTTCCTCTGGCCCTGACATTAGACTTAAACATTTTGACGGATAGATGTCTGGTGTCAGGGCACAGGGGCACGCAACTACTATTGATACTGATCTTGTTAGACTTTCAGTCGCTGGGTACGTTATATCATATAACAAACCCAGCGACTTAAAGTCTAACAAGATCAATATTTTTAGTAGGTGCTTGCCCCTGTGGTCATGCAGGGCCAGAGGTAACTCTGGCTATGCCAAAATGGCTTACAGTAGATAACAATGTCTAATTATCACTAAATCAGTTCCAATGTCACAAACTTACAACTCTGATCTAACCATTTGGAACAGGATAAACTAACACGGCCATGATGGAGATGACTGATCCCTGTCACTTGAGACAGAAATTTTAATTTGCTGTCTTGATGTTATAGTCTTTTCACATATGTGATAGACTAAGTATCAGATTCTTATGTTTTAGATAGGCTGTAAGGCACAACTATCATTACGTCATAACCATAACAGGTAATGATATCAATAAACTATTGCTGCTTATGAAGAGACCAATACTTCTTTGCAACCAGGATTGACGTCACTGGGGTCCCACTCCACCCCTCTTGATTTAGTCCTTTGGTAATGACTTGGAAACAGTTGAGATCCCGCTGTATAACCACTTAACTGCTTGGGCATGAGATTTGCACACTGATGTATGGCAGATTTTAATTATATATGGGATTACAATCGGCTACTCGCTTCACACTACAAGGAATTTCCCTTTTTTTTTAGCTCAGTGGTAAAGCATCCAACTAGGAAGGATCGTGGGTTCAATCCTCGGTGGAAGCACACTACTCTCTTTTGGTCTTTCCTATTACAAATGGTGGTTGACAGGGAGCTAGAACCTATGTTGTTCGAGGACAAACTAATTTAAGAAGGGAAGTGTAGCATTTTTAATTGTACATAGGATTATGGTTGCCTTCTAGCTACGAGCTAGTGGGAATGTCCCTTTCGCTCAGTGGTAGAGCATCTGACTAAGATCATGGGTTCAATCAACGATCATAAAGAATCCTATGTCCTTTTGACCTGAGGTTCAGATAACAAAAGAAACAGTTGAAGGATATTGTCCTTATTGGCCTCTTTTTGGAAACTTTGTTCTAAGCTTTGTCTACAGAGCAATATAGGTAATGGCTACAATTTGTTCTTTTCTCTATTCACTTGGTTAAAGAAGTCTTAATTCTTCTTAAAACAGTAACAGGAGAGGAAAAATGCATGTCCACGACCAGGTTGCTCTAACCAATTGAGCTTAACCTGGTCACAGGCAATTGACGTAGTCCAGTTCCGTTATATTCCTGTCTCCTTTTTATCCAACATCTTCATACTTGAAGACAGTGCTATAACCCAGGTTCGGATATTCCCTTCGCAATGGAAATACTTGAAACAATAGCCTGATTTTCATCATTTATCTGTCAAAATGTCGAAGTCTGGTGTCTGGGCCAGAGGAAACTCGGGCTATTGAAACAATGGTTGGTCACAGGCACCACTGTAATGTACTCCCTACTATGCCTTTATACCCATTGAATATCAGTTTCTGCTCTATTCCGATTGGACTTAAGCAGCCTGCTGGGTCAGTAAATGGGCCATTCCATGTCTTATGTAACAGAATTCCAGTCTTCCCAAGGTTTAGGTGATTTGTCTCTGTGGTTAAGATTGGCACTTCCTGCCATGAAATATTTTCTTATCTTGTGTGCACTATATTGTATATCGTTCATGTAGGTTCTACTTACTGTTGATAGGCTGTTTGAGAGTATTCCAGGAACCAGTTATGGCATTTAGAAGTCTTACTTTGAGCACCGGTATATTGTAACCAGGGTCACTTTCTTTACGTGCCTCCACTGGGATTAAAGCCAGACTACAGTCTATTCGTCCATTGCTCAACTGATTGAGCTAAGGGAAATTCTCTAAAGCCAAGTTGGTACAAAGCTGCTTGCTGGTTCATCGCTGTGACAAGTTGATCAAATTTCTCACTAATTCCTTTATTGTAATTTATAATTTCACCAAACAAATGATTGGGCTAGAGTAATCAGTGTAATTTTACATAACAATGTAAAAAAATATCATTGCACAAACAATATCACAGACAAAGGTTTGTTGTATTTAACATATAGTGTGTTATTGTGGGAGGCAACTGGATTGCCTGGAGAAACCCTGGCACATGGTTAGGAAGTTGACCTCTTTATGTCTGATCAGGAATTCAAACCCCAGCCATCTTGGTGAAAGGTGACTGTGCTATACATTATGCCAGCCCACCCAACTGATCTGTTACACATATATCTAGGCCAACTATATTAACTAATTGAACAATAAAGTCACTAGAGATCTGGTATTTGACAACATACTATTTTATTTTACAGATGATGAGCTGATAATGACCCCTGGAAAACAATTTTGACCTCTGACCTCTTTATGCCTTGACTCTGGTCGTCACGTCTAACAGTCATGTGCCTCTTGTATGTGTATGTGTGTGACAGTGCAGCTGACGGAGAATATAGGTTGATACTGGCCGACAACAGAGATGAATACTGGGACAGACCTACAAACCTGGCAGAGTTTTGGGGGCCCAGGGGAGAGTTCATCAGTGGTAAGTTAGGATAACTTGTATCTAGAGACAATGGTCTGTGTTACGGTGTCAGTGTACAGGTTGGTTACCTACATACAGTGTTCATATGTGATTCATGCCATATTTACAATGTGTTAGCGTTCATTAGATACTCTAGAGATCATAACTATTCCATTTTTGTGTTACATGTGTAATATGAGCAAGAAAATGCATGACCAGACTGGGGTTCGAACACGGGACCCTCCGAACTCTAGACAGACACTCTACCATTTGAGCTACCTTGTCCCCGATGATCAACCCAGTCACGTTCAGCTACATTCCTCCCTCCCTTTTCTAAGTCTTTGCCCCAAAGACACAACTATTTACAACCCAGGTTTGGGTATCCCCTTGTCAAGCATTTACCCTGTACATGAAACAAGGGTTGGTCACAGGCACCAAATGTAATATGGCCACCATGTGCATGGCCAGACCGGGGTTCAAACCTGAGACCCATCCAAACTCTAGACGGACGTGCTACCAATTCTCTTATCGCCAATGATAACCCAGTCCAGTTTCGCTACACATGTACTACCAATATTGAAATATATAAGCATCTGAGCTAAGGACTCTGAAATCTGATTGGTCTGGATATCTTACAGGTGTTGATATGGAGCCAGGAAGGGAAGGGGGTACCTGGCTCGGTGTGTCAAAGGCGGGGAGGATAGGAGTGCTTCTCAACATCCTGGACAAACTAGAAATGAACATGCGTGGCAGAGGTATTTATTTGTATAATTTATCACAATATTAATACGAAGATTATTTCATGGTTTTTCAATTTAGAAACGTATGTCTTTTGTTCACAATAAAATATAAAATATAATATCAAATATAATGAATGACCTTGATTAAAAAAAACCACTTTGTAACAACATAAACCATTTCTAGGTGATGTCCAAATTGACAGTATATTTGAATTTGGAATAGGCATGAAATGCTTATATAATTGTTTGATAACAGGACAGCCTACGTATACTGCAAGTATTAATTTGCATAAGACCTAACACGCTTCAAGTAATCAGAGATCTCCTCCTCCTCCTAACTTAACAATTACCTGTGCTGACAGTACATTTACCTGTGTTAATTTATACCTGCCCTACTGATGATAACATTTTCCAGGCGCACTAGTCACAGACTACCTGAAGGGAGAGCTAGATAATGACCAGTACATCTCACAAAAGATCCAGCCAATCCACGTAGAGTTTAACTGCTTTAACCTGATTCTCATGGACCTCAGGTAACTGTTGTAGTCAGCAGTTCTGATATACAGATTTAGTATGCATGGAGCAGTAAATACTGTGCTCCGGTCTGCATCTTGTTAGTGTATTCATAAAAAGATACACGGTTGCAATGGATACATTCCAATCTTACGATAATGTAATATGAGGTGGCACTTCTCCAAAAATAACGATATACATTATAAACAGAAATGATCAGCCACAGACCGACCCCTACTGACGAGATTGGGTGATATTTAGGTGGGGTTTTCACCTTTAGACACCAATCAGGAGGCAGTGCCTGTCACTTTTCACAGACTGACCCCTACTGACGAGATTGGGTGATATTTAGGTGGGGTTTTCACCTTAAGACACCAATCAGGAGGCAGTGCCTGTCACTTTTCTTCTGGTTTGTTTTGAGGGTTCAAATATCAGCACGTCAAAACAGAAATTGTTTCGTTAATTGATAATCATAAAAGGGAACCCTGGGTAGTATTTGCCAAAGAGGGTTAATGCTGCCTCTTGTCAGGTCACATGACCAATTGACCATGTGATGTACTGCACCGCACTGTGTGCTGGTGGCATATGAACCAGGTGATTCCGCTCTCTGCTGCTGTGATATATTGCGTTACAAGAATACATGATGATTGATGTAAAGATAAGTGTATTTTTGACATAGAGTATCTTATATATGTATTTTATACGACGGAACAGCATGTATCATGAATCAAGCTCCAGATTCTGCTCCTGCTGTTTAAAACAGTTCGTGAATAACTATTTCCCTTTGGACTATTTCCCTTTGGACTAGCAAGAGTTTGAGTCAGCTATTAAAGGCTTATTTTAGGCACTGATCACTAACTCTTAATGATTTTGATTAAATAGACTGAGGGGGAAAATGGACAAGGATTTGTTTATCTGATAAAGAGGTGAAGCAGGTGTTTGTTAATTTAGATGTTGTTTTTTATGTATTTTTGTTTTCAATTGTAACACGCTATAGAGTGATTTGCTAGAAATTTAATATAAAAAGACAATGATAATTATATAAAATCATATAATTTCAGTTTAGTATGAATCTTTGCTAAATTGTGTTTCACTTGTTTATGATGTACGTTAGTAACATGGGGTACAAGTGGTGATAATATATTTGTAATTTCCAGCATATTTCTGCATGAGGAACCTTATACTGACAGCCTTTACTGCTGTAATTGCTAGGTGTGATTTTAGTGTTAGTGGGAGTGGGACCTAATTAATATGTATTCAATATTCAACTTGGAATTGTTTGTTGTCGTACCAAGCAGTTTAGTACAAATATAATTTCTTTTTTCACTTTTCAATATTTTCATACATTTTAATACAAGTATGTATCAAAAAGATTAAAGTATACATGTATGTCACTTTGGCATGGGACAGACATATGGCAAGGGACAGACATATGGCATGGGACAGACATATATTATTTCACACCAGAGGTACTCTTTTAACCTTGTGAGGCGATGTAATTTATCACATCATTGCCTTACAGGTTCAACTTGTCTACTTGCAGATCTAACTCCACGCCTTTCACCTACTACAACAACAAAACCAATACAACAAAGTCTCTTCCCAACGGTAAGCTTACAGGTTGTGGAGTTCTACTGGTGACACCTCTGATACAACAAGTATTTTTCAGGCAATGTGTATTTTTAGAAAGTAGTTTCATTACAATTTATTGTCATTAGCTTACCAGCCTGAAGGGCACAATGTCAGTCATCCATCAGTCTGTCTGTCCATTCAGCTTCCTTCCTTTGGATGACCAACAGTCCAAGGGTCAGAATATCTAATCAATAGCATACTGGTATATAAATTGCTATCAGGTTCAAGATCACAGGGGTCAAATGTGAAAAACCATTTAAACAACTACTGAATGACCAAAAGGCCTATAGGGTCATTATGAATGTAGCATCAGCTGCATGCTGGAATGAAAAGCACTCGGGTTTGTTCTTGTGAATGACCTTGACCCTTTTTTAAGGTCATGAGGGTTAAATATCTGATACATGACCTTGTTTAACTTTGAAGATTGCATGAAAACATTTAATGACATTTAAGCCAGTACTGTTAGCTTGTTAGACTGTTTAGATAAATTTAACCTTGATCCACTTTGAAGTTAATGTTTTACAATAGCATTGATTAAAAGGTGAGCAATACAGGCCAAAAGACCGTTTTGTTTAAATAGATAACTCCCTTCCATTTGGATTATAAAGTAAAATAATATAACACAACTTTCTGACGAACTTGACTATTGGCAGGAGTGTATAGCTTTGACAACTCTACGGTGGATGAACCATGGCAGAAGTCTGTTCATGGCCGAGCGACCTTCACCAAGGCTGTCCACGAGCATGGCAGGAAAAGGGACAAGGACCAGCTAGTCAAGTCACTCCTCCAAGTCCTGTGCGACCCCACTCGGTCAGTACTGTCTTAATCTATCCTGAAGGTACTGATGAATGATCCCACTTAGAAATGTGATCTGCAATTCTAACGTTGGCATATTTCCAGTAATATAAAACTGATCATGTGACTGTTGTACTGTTGGCAGGTTTCCAGATGACAGCCAGTTACTGAAGCAAGCTCTCATATGCGATGTCCCAGAGGACATTCGCCTTGAGAGGAGTGCAGCGTTCGTGTGGTCCCCCTCGATCAGATATGGCACAAGGTTTGTGAAGCCTACATTGATATAGGTTTGGGAGAGTCATATAAGGAAAGTCTATCAAAGTTTTCCACCATTTCTTGCAGATTAATGACATCTTCTACTATGAAGAATTCTGATGATTATAACCTAAGGATTAACTCATCTGCCAATGAAATGACACAACTCTGTTGAGTGGCCACAGACATCTGGCTATATTTTCTCCCACCTCACTATATATATATATATATATATGCAAGATACACTTTGTTGTCCTATTTTGTATTTTCTATATGAAGAAACAATGAAAGTTCACTTGTTATTTGTTGTAGAACCAACACCATTGTACTTGTGGACAAGTTTGGAGAATGCGAGTATATCGAACGGACATTCAAAATTCCAGTCGATCCTGAAAACCTTGGCTGCCAAACAAAATCATACAAATTTCAGATGTGTTCTCAAAACAAACTTTAGTATTGACATATATATCTGCATGCCTAAACATGTTGGTATTTTTATCATTATTTCTTGTAAATTTCATACTGAAATTAAAATATTGTTTGATTTGCTATTTTTGTCTCAATTTTCTATGCTTCTGGATCTTAACGACATATTGCATATGAATGATGAAATATCAAATAAGAAGGAAAAGTTGACAAAAGCAGATTTTATTTTGTTCATTTACTGTTACATAGAGGCTTTAGAACATAATTATAAGCAGATCTACAAACCGGGGAAGGAGTGAAATCTATTCCAGCATCCATTTAGTAAAGTGTAGTATATATTAATTTGAAGGTTCGTTTTGAGTTAGAAAGCAGTTTTTTAATTATTCAGAGTATACAGATTATGATATACCATCATAGTAAATTAACCAGAATGTTACAGATTTTTACCATATTTTCATAGCACTAACAATAGTTTTTAGCTTTGCATGACCCAAAGGCCTGTGAAAGCATTTTCAATAGCACAGTGTTCATCATCCATCTGTTAAGGTTTTAGTCGATTCATACTTTTAAATGGCTACCTTTTCCACTGATTTCATCAGATAAATTTCAATTGGATCAAGAATAAATGTTCCTGTCATTGCCCCTACTTTGATTGTAGTTATTTATAATTCTTTGGGTCGATAAGAAATCTGTTTCCCTTTTTTTTTCAGAATACACCTTTCAATTGCATTGCATGTATTTATACAAGCCATATATGACTGCTCATTTACTTGAAACTATTGAGATTGTATTTAGAAGCATAATGTTTAAATCCAAACACAAAATTAATGATTGTGGACTAATTATAAGCATGCATTATTATAAAGGACAGATTTAGACTTTAGACTAGGACATTGTTTTTACTGCATAGTGGAATGAGCCTATTAGTATTACTAGGTGAAGATCCTACACAAGTTTGGGATACTACCTGTATTTCAGTGCAGGTCTGAGCTTAGTAGGGGAGATATTAAGATTAAATACTACACTATGTCTAGCTCTGCTGTGTGGAGCAAAGCAAGAAGTTTGCCTGAAAATGGGACACTTTCACTAAAGTTTTACCATTTTGAGTCAAATACTAGCATAGTGAAGAAAATGAGGAAGACTTTTTGTACATACATGTCATTGGGCTAAATTATTTAGTATCAATTGACAAGCAGAGCAAGGCAAAATATTTATCTATTTGTGACCAAATAAAAATGATTTGTTGTCAATTTGTTTTGGAGTAGGGGGCATGCCTGATGCACTTCAAAAGTTGACCATGTGCAATTTGAATTAACCCTTTCACCACCATAGACCATAATGGACTCGCCCAGATAAATGCAAGGTAGAGTCTACTAAAGTGACCTAGGGGTGAAAGGGTTAACACACAATACATGTATGATTACTTGCAGTGTCTGTCATTTAGATGGGCACATGTTTTATAATTGTGGTATTGTCTGTTATAACAGTTGTTTCCTGAAGATGTTAAGCTATATTTTTGTGTAATGTATGGTATCATGAACTGCATATATAGTCCTATTTATTGTATTGTGAATTACATATTGTCCTATGTATATGTATCACCTTATGTAATACATGACATGTAATATCCCCTTAGTTATGTATTGTTTGATTTATCATATTGTGAATCACATCTGGTGAAATGTATCATCATGATCTTAGCTAGTCACTTCCTCCGTTTACGAATACTTTATAATGTGACACATTTTTGTCTATTAGGGGGAACGTTCAGTTGTTGCTGTTGTTTCAGTGTTGTATATGAAATGAAAGTCACAGGATTTGTAACATTTAATGATGATGTAAGAATATACGGGTCCAACTTTCCAAAGTGCTTTTAACATAACATCCAGTGAACACAAATCTATCATCTTGTGTATTTTCATAAATATTGATAAATGTGACTCAAGTTGGTGTGTAGGATTCAATGTATGAGGGCATGAAACACAAACATATTTATAGTTTTAGATGATCTCGGTGATATTGATATTGTGGTATTATAAGACGATTAATTTGCATTTCATATTTTAATCAGATACAGATCCATTTCTGATTGATGATAAACCGTGGTTATGTGATCAGCCACACCCACTGCACTGAAGTGGGATGCTTGTGATGTATACTGACAAGAATGTGTCGAAATCTTGCCAATCTAAAGCTAAATTAGAGTTATACAATTATTGATACCAGGATGCTGTTGAAGTATCTAAAACTTCTTCATATCAGCAAACTGATTGAACAAGTGATCATCAGTTTGCTTTAGAGTGACATGCCATAGTAACATGTCAACAACGTTCACGAAGTCCGTTACTAATATTTATTACTAATGGTGTTACAATGGGGATAGATTATATACTGGCATCACCAGTATAGCCACTGAAAACGATGAATGGTCTCCTAAATAAAGCTTGAAGCAAGTGGGCCCTAAGTCAATAAAGTATATTTATAACTCTTTACTGGCCATAGCCATAGGTGAAACGTTTTTAATTCAATTGTAATATTTCAGGAATTCAGTATTTTTCAAAATATACCAGATGAAGGTTTGAGTTATTCTGTCATTCATCTTAAGCACAACTCAAATCATTCAGTTTTAATGTAAATGGAATATGTATAATTCCTATTTGAGGTATATGCTGATATATAACCTCATTCCACACTACGTACCTCAAAGCCATTAATTACACACTCGGGAAGATGTCTGTGCCTACCTCAATAGTATTTTTTAAATGTGACAAATTTGGTAAATTTTGTAAATCATTTTATAGTATTTTTCATATATATCTTTTAACACATCACAATAAATATTGAAATCAACAAATTTTGTTTTGTTTTGTGTTTAGCTCACCTGGCCCAAATAGCCAAATAACATTTCGCTGTGACCTGCTATTCCTTAGTCCTACCCTATAAACCATTTGGTATAAAATTTAAAGCTCAAGACTACTTTCGTTAGTCCCCGACCAGTTTGCACTCCGTCCGTCCGTCATGCGGTCCGTCCGAGATTTTGTCCAGGGCATGTCTTCTATACTATATCACCTGGAGTAACCAGATTTGGTGTACAAAGAAGAAGGTCACTGTGACCTATGCTTTCACCTTTGACCTTAACTTTTGAAAAAGTTTGTCCGGGACATATCTTCCATACTATTTCACATTGAGTAACCAGATTTGGTCTACAAGGACATCTTGGGATCTTGACCTTCGACCTTTACTTTTGAAAAAAGTTTGACATAAGTGTACTGTTTGTTAAATTTAAAATAATTGCCGAAGGGGGACTATGTATAGCCTTGTTTAAATCGGGACGAGAGTTACTGAGCACAGCGACTTTTGCAATACATGTGCTACATCAATGGCTGCATCACATAGTCATCGAGACTTGGACTTGGTTCCTTCATCTACCTAGTAGCCCACCATTGATATTATGTTGGTATATATTTTGGAAAGAGCTACACAATACGTTGTCATAACTTGTGCCGAATCCATTTGTTATATATATACTGTACACTTTTTAGGTCACCTGAGCTTTGCTCAAGTGACCTATTCCAATCGCTTTTCGTCCGTCGTCGTCCGTCGTCCGTCGTCCGTCGTGCGTCGTGCGTAAACTTTTACATTTTCAACTTCTTCTCAAGAACCAGTGGATGGATTTTTTTCAAACTTGGTCAGAATCATCCTTGGTAGATGAGGCTTCAAAATTGTAAAATTGGGATTCCTACCCCGACCCCTGGGGCCAGGGCGGGGCCCCAAAGGGAAAATTA